CTGTGCCTGTCCCTGCTGCTCCCAGCCGTGTTGGCCATATGAGGACAATGACCGCCCCGTGGCCACCTGCCTCTTATCAGCTGCATCCCACCCTGGGCTGACACTTGCCTGGGGACACGGTGCCGGGCTGCCAGGGACCTCTGGTGCTCATCCCAGGTCACAGAGCGGATCTGGAACGTCTCACAGCTCTTATCAGCCATGATCTATAGCAGTACTGAGCACTGGGATGTCCGGAGGTGACACATCCATGGGCACCCTGAGCCTCTCCAGCCCGAACCAAAGCACAGCCCAAGGAGCCCGCAGCCCTCCTCCCTGCCACCACTGTCTTGTGATATAGGGGCTGTCCTTCTTTGGCTACAACAACTCCATGCAGCATTATGGGCCTGGAGTGGAATGGAAAGATGCGTGTTGGGAAAGGATTTGGGTGTGGGGGAGTATCTGTGACAAAGCAGATTTTATCCACAATTGCAATGGCAGGAGCAGGAGCGCCTGCACAAAACAGTGCTACATCTTTTATGCCCTATTGCTCAACACTTATTTTTTCCACCCCTGGTTCCTCACTGGTTGAGTACTTCAGGTTCACAATCTTCCCAACGTTCAGCTAAACATACAGATACTGGATAAACATAAATTGTTCGTAGCTAAGCATATAGGGCTAATTAGTTAACTTCTCACATTTGCTCACTCAACGTTAGGCTGCTATTCCTGGACACCTGCTGTCCTTACACAGAGATAAGTTTGGAAGGAAAGATGTAGGGGGGTATCTGTTGCATTCCTCCTAATCCAAAAGTGGGACAATTTGAGCTCATGTAGAGGCCCTAGGTTGGTCTTTTGCTGAGGGCCTCTGGGCAAAACAGAATAGCCTATAATACAGAAGCTGCCATTTTTGTACTTATTATTTCATCTTAACTACTAAGCATGCATAAATATGGAAAGTTTAGCTAAAGGACAAGTGATGAGGATTATTAAAGACCCTCCTTTGTTGGAATGAAGAAAGACTTGTTAGTACCAAGAAAAGTCACTAGATGACAGCACAGACCATAAAATACTCCCCTTGCTAGTTCTAATCGCAGAAACATTTCAGTCCCACACGCCTTCTGCACAGGTCATCTCCCCCATTTGTTTCTGGCCAGGACAACACAAAACATTCCATGCATAATCGATGGGGTCTTCCATTATTTGGCAGCCCACCTTCTGCTCCTTTGTCACACGTGGACCCGTGTTTCCTTGCCACTCACTTCTGTCAGACACCTCATGTTCAGCAGGGCTTGCCGCTGACCTTTGTAGCATCTGCTCACATCCATGCCAGGTGTACAAACCAGACATCTTGTGGTCATGTTGAGAGGTTCTGTCTGCTGGCACAGTTACAATCTTCTGGTTTTCTCCCTCCATTTCTGCTGAACTTGTTTGCACCTCCCAAGGTCTTTTGCTAATCAGAGCGAGAATATCTGTATTTTCTCCCCATGATACACAGATTAAAGGAAGCAAAGTAAAGGACCCGGATAAACTAATTGAGGGGGCTTGGAGAGTATACAGAAACAGGGATTGTAATGAAAGAAAGAAATTGGGAAGAACAGCAGCTGCTGCATTAGAGCAGGAGATGGAAGGGCCTAGGGAGGGTTTTGCCCCCAGTGCATTGAAAGCAGTGTGTAAACAGCAGGGAAATGGAGCACTGGTGGAGGTGCACCAAGCTGAGGGGGAAGGGAACCACCTCTGATCACAGAAGCTGAATGAGGAACTTTGGAAGTGGGACAAAGAAAGTCATTATCTTGCTGACAAGTAAAAAAGCTCACACACAAGGCTCCTACGTGTAACCAGTTGTTTGTGTAAAAGGTTGTCAGAACCTACAATAGAAGGTCCTTGTTCTGCAGCAGCAAGGGAGTCTGTACCTCTGGCAGCACGGGCAAGGGAGCTTGGAGAGCTTGCCAGAGAGAAGTTTGATCACAGCAGACCGATGGCTAGGATTTGATTGCAGCTAGGAGAGAAGGGTAAAGATGTTTGTTTTCTGGTAGATACGGGTGTCTCTCACTGTGCTGCACCAAGAATTACCACCCATGGATGATTTTTGTAGCAGTAGTAGGAGCTACTGGCCAACAAGAAAAAGCTTACCAATTAAATTAAAAAAAAAAAATGGATTTAAGGGTAAAGCAAGAAACAATAGGAGTGACTATAGCTGTGAATACTTTCTGTGAATGTTTTGTTTTGTAAAGAGATCTGATTTAGTGGTTTGCTCTATTTTACAAGCAGCTATTCCCGGTCCGCGGGGCCGCCGGCGGCTGGGTCACAGAATCACGGAATCAAAGAATGGCCAAGGTTGGAAGGGACCTCAAGGATCATGAATCTCCAGTCCCGTGCCACGCCGCCCTGGGTCGGCGCCGTCTTGCGGGAAGACCCCTCGCAGCAGGCTGGGGAACATCACCTTCTGCTCCGTTTTCTGCGTGGCCGAGAAGTACCGCTCCATGCCCCGTGCCTCGGCTCTCCCCGCGTCCCGCTGCTGCCCGGCCCGACGGGCGTCTGGACCAGACGGCTCCGCAGAAATGTCTCCTTGCCCGGCGCTGCGATGGCGGCTGGGAGCTGGTGACGGCGCGGCTCGGCGGCTCGGGCCGCCCGTCTGCCTTCGTCCCTCGACGGGACGCCACAGTGCTGTGTTTTGGGAAGGGACGCGCGGCCACTTGTCGCTCGCGCATCCCCCGGGGTGACCCCCTGCGTTTGGGCAAGGAGGGGGCGCTGCGTATTTCTCTCATATTTCCCACCTAGGAGCCCAGCGTGTTCCCAGCGTGTTCCCAGCGTGTCTGCGTGCTTTCAGCCTGTGTGCGGTGCTGTGCACCACGGCCCCCTGGTGCTGCAGCCACTGCTCCTGCTGTAACGTGCAGGAATGCTGCTGGGGTGTGTAGGGATGGGGCCACGAAGGCCACGGCCCGTCTGCAACTGGCAAAAGGCACAAAACAAAAAAGGTTTCTGTGGGTATCTCAACCAGAAAAGGGAAGTCCAGGAGGGCTTTCCTTTTCTGAAGAAAGTTCCAGGAGGGCGTACCACCCCACCATGGTGGGTAACATAGGCAGGCAAGGGAAGAGCCAGTGATGTTATCAATCGGGACTTCATTAAGGCCTTTTACACGGTAGCCCACTACGTTCTTCTCTCCAAATTGGATAGACGTGGGTTTGGTAACTGTTCAATGGACGAGGAACTGGCTGCAGGATCGAGTCCAGAGAGTGGTGGTCAATGGCTCCATGATGGAGATCAGTGACAAGTGGTGACCCTCAGGAGTCAGTGTTGGGACCAAAACTCTTTAATAACTTTATCAGTGACGTTGACAGTGGGGTCAAGAGCACCCTCAACATGTTTTCTGAGGATAGCAGGCTCTGGGGTGTGATCATCACAGCAGAGGGATGGGATGTCATCCAGAGGGCCTAGACAGGCTTGAGCAGTGGGCCCAGGTGAACTCCTGAGGTTCAGCAAATCCAAATGCAAGATCTCGAACCTAGTTTGAGGTGACCTCTGCTACCAATGCATGGTGGGGGATGAAAGGATTGAGCACAGCCCTGCCAAAAAATACCTGGGGGTACTGCTGGATGGGAAGCTGGACCTGAGCCAGCGCTGTGCCCTTGCAGCCCAGAAAGCCAACCGTAAGCTGGGCTGCATCCAAGACAGCGTGGCCAGCAGGGCGAGGGAGGTGATCCTGCCCCTCTATTCTGTGCTGATGAGGCCTCAGCTGGAGTACTGCATCCAGACGTGGAGTCCTCAGAACAGGAAAGACATGGAGCTGTTGGAGTGCATCCAGAGAAGGGCCACAAAAATGATCCAAGGGATGGAACATCCCTTCTGCGAGGACAGGCTGAGAGCTGAGGCTGTGCAGCCTGGAGAAGAGGAGGCTGTGAGGTGACCTGAGAGCAGCCTTTCAGTATCTAAAGAGGAGCTACAGGAAAGATGGGGACAGACTCTTGGGCAGGGTCTGGATGGGAAATGGTTTCAAGCTCAAAGCAGGTGGATTCAGGTGAAATGTAAGGAGAAAGTCTTTATCAGTAAGGTTGGTGAGGCAGTGGAAAAGGTTGTCCAGATGTGTGGATGATGCCCTATCCTGGAAGACTGTCAAAGTGAGGCTGGATATAAGCCTTGGGCAACCCGATATAGCTGTGGATGTTGCAGTGCATTGCAGGGGAATTAGGCCAAGCAAATAGAGACAGGATGAGGGGAAATGGCTTTAAACTGGAAGAGGGTAGTTTTAGACCATATATTAAGAAGACATTCTTTACCGTGAGTTGCTGGCACAGCTTGACCAGAGAGGTTGTGGATGCCTGGAACTAGATGATCTTCAAGACCCTTCCAACCCTAACCATTCTGTGTTGCTATGACTCTATGGATGGGAGGAAGCGGAGGTGGGACGGGGAGGTGGGATTTGGGTGTTGGGTCCCCATCCCCAAGATGAGTGCATGGGGGCCCTCTTCCATGCCCAGGAGCCGCGTTGCTCCAAATCTAGATGACAATCCTATTTGTTTTTTTTTGTGGACGAATAGCAGAGCATGCTTCTCGTATTTAAGTTTGCTAGGCTGAAAGTGCTGCTCATAGGAAATCAAAATGGAGATGAAGCTGAAGTGAGAAGAAAGCACAGTGTACCTGGCTGTTATCCAGATTGTTTCATGAAACTTGTGTCCATGGAGGTTTCCAAAACCTTCCAGCTACTGCCGTGTCAGCTTCCTCCTTTATTGGAGTGGCAAGTGAAGGAATTCTTTGATCTTTAATGTTCTGCCTTGACAAGATCCAAATCTAAAAAATCCACCAGGGAATCTACCAAGACACGCTGGGCATCCTATGGCCGGTGCAGGGGAAAGGCACTGTGACATCACAGAGCAGGGCATGACATCAATCTTTGCAAGTCACGCTGGCAGCCTCCCCCAGCTCAGATACGTGGAGCGGCCGCTCCGTCCTGGTGGTCACTGCTGGAGCTCTGCTCTGGGTGACAGCCATTTGTGCATTGAGATTGTTCTTTGGGAGAGAACAGGATGAAGCTCAGCCTGACTCTCTTCCTGGCCATCGCTCTGACCATGTCTCCATTTGTGGGACATGGCCCTGGCTGTGCCAGTGGTTTCAGCTGGGTCTGGAATTGGGACCAAAAGCTGGATGTTCCTGAGGAGCAGCATCCAGTGAAGTCCAAGAGCCAGACCTCCAACCAGCCCTGCTGGTTTGGTCTAACCTCCTGCCCCATCAGGATCGAGGACAGGAAGACAAACCGGATCCTTTCTGAGGAGCAGCATCCAGTGGAGACCAAGGACCTGACCTCGTCCTGGCTCTGCTGGCTTGGCCTAACCTCCTGTCCCATCAGGATCGAGGACAGGAAGAACAACTGGGTCCTTCCTGAGGAGCAGCATCCAGTGGAGACCAAGGACCTGACCTTGTCCTTGCTCTGCTGGCTTGGCCTAACCTCCTGCCCCATCAGAGTTGAGAATGGGAAGAACAACCAGGTCTTTCCCAAGGAGCAGCATGCAGTGGAGACCAAGATCCTGACCTCCTACTGGCCGTGCTGGCTTGGCCCTTCCCAGTGCCCCAAATGGTTCAGGTACAGGGACAGCAAGATTGCCTTTCCAGAGGGCCCAAAGCAGCAGTCCCTGGGCACCAAGCAGAAGGCCTACAGCTTGCCTGGCTTCCTGGGCCACCTTTGGGACTACCTTGTGCTAGAAGGGAGAACCTGGCTCCTAGATTCCTTGATCACCATTTGCATTCTCTGCCTGCTGGGAATTGCCCGCAGCCTCTGGAGAAGATTAAAAAGACCTTGGGGACAGGTGAGCGATGGAGATGCACTGTGCAGGGAGGGTACCATGGCTGGGGAGCGAGGAACCATAAAGACCATGTACGTGAGGACATCCAAGGAAAGCAGACCTCCAGAGGTCCATTAGCTCTCCCCAGGAACTTGCCTAGCCACGGGGCTGTCACACAGTGCCCTGTGCAAAACGGGGCCTGCCAGAGATGGTGTGACCCCACGGGCTGCCCCGAGCTGTCCTGTGAGGCTGGAAATGCTCCGTGTCAATTAGAGCTCTGCAGGGTGATTCTCTGCAAAACAAGCCTGCATCCCTTTCACTATGCCCATGCTCTCTCACTTCCAGGGAATGGGAAAAGCAGCCTCGGCTTCCATGCAAACTGAGTGCCAGGAAAAGGATGACAAAATTCTTTCCAACCTGCTCAGCCTGACTGAGGATCAAATAAGATTTGAGGTCAATGACCTGCCGACCCTCTGCCTGCTACCAAAGGTTTGTGCGCAGAAAACTGCTTGATAACTACAATGTCTTCTACTGGGTGCATGCCAGCGTGAGGATGAGCTGCGCCATGAGCACCTCCTGCAGAGGAGTTCTGCATTTGCCCATCAGAAAGATAACGATTGGTGTCAATGATCTCTCTTTCCAAGGCTCTTCCAATTCCAAACGAAGGCTGGATTAAACATCTCTTGGGACAAAATTCTCAGACATCCCAGAAGAATGAGCTGCTTTGCTGCCCACGCCTGGCCTCCAAATCAGAGACAAGGAGGATCGGCTTAATTAACTTGGGAAACACTTGTTACATGAACAGCGTCATCCAGTCTCTTTTCATGGCTTCGGAGTGAGTTGTTGCTCCCTTGTTCCCACTTAGGACAGCTCCAGGGCTGCTTTGTGCACTGGCATTGTGCTTTCCACACTGATTTTCCATCTTGGTTTGCATCTCTTGTTGTCTTTTGCAGCTTTCGGCATTCGGTGTTGAATTTAACTGAGGGCATCTCCCAGCCCCTGATGACAAAACTGCAGTGGCTCTTTGCACTTCTGCAGCACAGCGAGGTAATTATTCCATGTTCCAGTTATTTGTTTGGACTGTTGGCTGTGGAACGGCTCGTCTTCAAGTTGCTTCCTGCATGAGTGACTCCAGATGGCACAGACCCGTCTGTCCCCCAAAGACACAGTTTTGAATTTTTACTTTCTGTGGACCCATTTACCTGTACCTCCCTGTTTCCCAAGACTTGACTGGCAGCTCTGGCTCGTTACATAGTGGTGCTGCAGCATTACAGATCCATTCCCGATCACTTTCAGGGGGTAATATAGAGAACATCTTAACTTAAACATTTGGTCATAAAAGAGCCTGTTTGTTCAAAGCAGGTTATGGTGTGTTTGATGTGCATTAGCATACTTGCTTGCTGTGTAGCTCATAGTTAATAATTTCCCAGTAATTTCCTGTAATCATTCTAGTTATTTTTCTTTTGGGCCAATGATCTTCTTTTGGACCAATCTTTCCCAGCCAATGATGGGTCTTTCAGCATATTAATTAGACAACAATTGCCTAATGGCACTGATTACATTATCCAGTAATGCAGATTAGCTGCCTGCAGTGATCAGAAGAATGGGTGGAAGTTTTTCTTTCTTGAATGGACTTGGTATCAAATTAAGGATCAAATTAAGTTCAGGCTAAATTAAGTGGAAGTCTGTGGGTCAGGAACACAAACCATTTTGAAACTGAATGAAGAAATATCAATACCTGAAGGGAACCTACACCCAGGAGGGGAGTAAACTCTTCAAAAGGGCTGACAACAGCAGGACTAGGGGAAATGGATCCAAGTTGAAGGAGGGAAGATTGAGGTTGGATGTTAGGGGGAAGTTCTTTACAAGGAGAGTGGTTGGGCCCTGGAACGGGTTGCCCAGGGAGGTTGTGGATGCCCCGTCCTTGGACGTGTTCAAGGCCAGGTTGGACGGGGTCCTGGGCAACCTGATCTGAATGTGTGTGTTTGGTGGCCCTGCTGGGCAGGGGGGTTGGAACTACATGATCCTTGAGGTCCCTTCCAACCCGGGTGATTCTGTGATTCTGTGAAATGCATGGATAGCTCGTATGAGTACCTAAGTGATAGGTGCTGGTAAAAGTGAGCATACAAAGCTCTCATCCTCATGACAGTCCAGCAAAAGGACGTTCAGCATCCCTCCACTGCTGGATGCAGCAAACAAAGCAAGTCTTCTGTATGAAGTGAAATCCAGTTGCTTAAGATGTATTTTTCCCTCTCGGTTCCAGCGACCTGCCATCTCACCCGAGAGGTTCTTCTCTGCCTCCCAGGCACCCTGGTTCACCCCTGGTGCTCAGCAGGACTGCTCGGAGTATCTCAAGTACCTCCTGGATCGGTATGTGACAAGCCCTCCAATTTTGGAGCCCAGACATGATGAGGCCCCAAGACTTGGTGTAATATGAAATGCTGACTCCCGTGGGAGTGGTGCAAGTGGCTGAGATCTGAGAGATCTGGTGTAAAAATGGGAAAATGAGTCTGGGGCTTCTTATTAGAACTCTGTGCTGAGCTGGGGTAAGAAATGGATTCAGCTTGAAAATTTCTGAAATTGCACCAAGTTCAGAGGAGAAGTGTTTGCCTGACAAACCTCCTCTTTAAAATGCTGATTTTGCCTTTCTTTCACCTTAAAATCCCGAATCCCCAGAGTCCTCGTGATGCCCCTGGAAGTGGGCTCAATGCACACTGACCATCTCTGCTTTCTGCACCACCGCACTTGGCATCAGAGCCCTGTGCACAGACAGGTTATCACACGTTAGCTGTGAGGAGCAGAGAACAGACACCATACTGTAGAAACTCGTTCTTTAGGTTTTATTGCTCTGTGTTGCCATCTTTTTTCTTCTGCCAAAGATTGCATGAAGAAGAAAAAACTGGAAAGAGGATCTACCAGAAACTCAAGGAATCCGGCTTGACGTCTCAAGCCACGGAGCATCATTCCTTAAACAAGACGTTGATTGAGAAGATGTTTGGGGGGAAAATGACGACAAAGATTCGTTGCTTGAAGTGTTTGAACATCTCCTCTAGAGAAGAAGCCTTCACAGACCTGTCGTTGGCCTTTCCCCCTCCAGATAGGCCCATACATGGACCAGGAAGCACCTCTGTTTCGCCCGTGGCAGAAGTCTGCCGACAGTTTATTGAGCCTCACAAATACCCAAGCCAGCCAACAGGGTCTAAGGAGTCCCGATCCGTCTCGGATTTACTCAACTATTTTCTGTCCCCAGAGAGGCTGACAGCAGAGAATCAATACCACTGCGAGCAGTGTGCTTCCTTGCAGGATGCTGAGAAGGTGGCAGAGCTGACAGAGGGCCCGCACTACCTCATCCTCACACTGCTGCGGTTCTCCTTCGATCTGCAGACCATGAAGAGGACTAAGATCCTGGAGAACATCTCCATCCCTGCAGTGCTCGAGCTGCCCATCCTTGTCAGCTCAGAGGAAACTGAGGATGTTTGCCAGCATGGGGAGGTCAGGGCTGACCGGGGCAGCACCTTTGTGCCTGCTGTGTACGATCTGTGCAGCGTGGTGGTGCATTCGGGCATCTCCTCCGAGAGCGGCCACTACTACTGCTACTCCAGAGAGTGCACTGACACCGTGCCCCACGCACCGCCCCGCGACGGGACACCAAAACCGGCTTCTGGCAAGCAGTTGGACTTTGAAAACCCGTGGTACCTCTTCAACGACACCAGGGTTTCCCTCGCCTCCTTTGAATCTGTCAGCAACCTGGCTTCTTTATACTCCAAGGACACTGCCTACATGCTCTTCTACAGGCAGCGGGGGGGCAGGCCAAGCTCCCACTGCATGAGGCTGTGGCAGAAGCCAGCCAGCTGCACAGCGAACTGTCCCTCAATAAGGACTTGATGGAAGCCATCTCCAAAGACAACATTCTCTACTTGCAGGTAGATCCCAGCTGTACACACACTGCACTTTCCCCCTGAGATTGGGTGTTGAGCTTGATGTATGGCATCAGTGAGGCAGGCAACACCAGGCACAAGAGACTGACTGAGTGATGTCTGTCCTGGGCAGCTCTGCATCTCCTTTTTCCTAGTGTCCAGGTGTGGTGAGTGGAGCACAGCTGCCAGTCAGGTGCCCACCCACCTGCTCTCTCACTCCCCCATTTTTGATCACCCGTGTAGTGCCACACTTAGATGCATCTCTCCAACCAAGTTCTAGAGATGAGTACGTGCCATAGCAACCTCAGGTTAGTTTTGGGAAAATTCCCAGGGGCAAACGGGACAGCACAGGGAAGGAGGGAGCAATTCCCAAGGCTCATTTCCATGCAAATGACAGCAATATTCTTGGTCATTTCTTCTACAGGACCAGGAAAAAAGAGGCGAGGAACAGAGCTGCCTACATTCCCTCCTTGCCAAAATGCCCCACGCCTCAGTCCACCAAGGGTGTGTGAGCAGAAAACTCCTTGATGACAACAATGTCTTTTCCTGAGTGCATGCCAAGATCATGCCAACATCTCCTGGATCATCACGTCCATTTTCAAGCATGCATGAGACAAATAAAACTATCATTCCTGCAGCCTGTGTCATTGTGGTGGCAGTGGGTCCGGGACTGCGGCAGCACGAAAGGCGTTGGTGCAGGAGTGCTGCTGTGCGGGGAAGGGAAGGGAGGCGCTGAGGCGCGGCGGCTCAGACTGCCTGCTCTGCTTCACCCCTTGGCTTCTTATCGCTGACTGGCAGCTCAGGCCGGCAGCCATGAAGTTGCTGAGAGCAGCCTGCAGGACTCTGGGGCACTGGGCGGTGTTATAGTTCCAGCCCGGTGCGGCCCGGTTCCGTGACTATGGGGCAGAGGGACAAACAGCCTGGGCAGTGGGGACAGGGGTGTGGAAAGAAGAGGGGGGGCCTGCGTACAAAACAGCGTCAGCGAGCTGAGGGAGAGAAAACTCGTTTTCTAAACATGACAGGGGAATGCAAGAAAAGTCATAGAATCATAGAATCCCATGGTTGGAAACGACCTACACGATCATCTAGTCCAGCCATCTCCTGTCACCATTGCCACCAGTAGCACCAAACCATATCACACAGCACGTCATCCAGACGCCTCTTGAACACTGCCAGGGATGGCGACTCCACCGCCTCTCTGGGAAGGCCATTCCAGTGCCTGACCACCCTCTGAGAGAAAAGGTTCTTCCTTACGTCTAAGTCGTGGCAATCAAGTCCCTGATGCCTGGAAAGAAGGGAACATCACACCCGTTTTTAAGGAGGGTACAAAGGGTGACCCGGGGAACTACCGAGCTGTCAGTCTCATCTCTGTGCCAGTTGCAGTTGGGCCGTGGCCTTCCTGACCCCATCCCTGCACAACCCAGTGCACTCCTGCACGTTAAAGCAGGAGCAGCGGCTGATGCACCTGCAGGCCATAGTGTACAGCACTGCACACAGGGTGAAAGCACCCACATTCCCTGGGGACGTGCTCATAACCAGCACCGTACGTTTAACCGGCCCTGCTGGCTTGTCTGTCCTCCTGCCAAGTAACAAGGGAGGAAGGGGACAAATACTTGTGCTTCCTGAGGAGCAGCTGCCCACTAATGCTTGGAGATGTGTCTCCAACTGGCCCTTCTGGCTTGGCCTTTCTCCATGCCACAAATGGGTCCTGTACAAGGTCAACAAGTCTGTTATTCCAGAGGGCCCAAAGCAGCAGTCCTCAGGCACCGAGCAGACAGCCTTCAACTTGCCTGACACCCAGTCCCAGCTTTGGGACGGCCTTACGCAAAGCCAGATAACTGGGTTCTTCATAAAAGTCTAGACAAACTACCGTATTTTCCAGCTGCAATCCGGATTGCCCGCAGCCTCTGGAGAAGAGTGAGAAGACATTGGGGACAGGCGAGAAACTGAGGTTCATCATGCACGGAGGCGACCACGGGTGGGGAGCAGAAAACCACAGAGGTCTTGTCTGTGAAGTCTCCCAAGGAAAGCAGACCCCTGGAGGTCCATCAGCTCTCTTGATGGACCTGGCCATGGGCCTGACACCAAGCCAGAGCCCCCTATGCAAAACAGAGCCTGACAGAGGTGGTGTGAGCCCCACGGGCTGCCCTGAGCTGTCCTGCGAGGCTGGAAATGCTCTGTGACAATCAGAGCCCTGCGGGGTGATACACTGCAAAACGAGCCTGCATCCCTTGCAGTGTGCCACAGCACTCTCACTTCCAGGGAACGGGAAAAACAGCCTCGGTTTCCATGCAAACTGAGTGCCAGGAAAAGGACAACAAAATTGCTTCCAACCTGTCCAGCCTGATTGAGGATCAACTAAGGCTCATGAAGAGTGACGTGACGACCTTCTGCCTGCCCTGCCTGTGAGTGCTCAGCATGCATCAGTGCAGGAATACAGTGGACACATGGAGGCCCTTTGAGTCCTGCAGCGCGCTGGGAAGCATCCAGGGCACACTGGGAATCCTCAGCAGGGCCACTTCTGCGAGGATGCCGTGCGGATCAGCTTCGTAGTGGAGGCCTGCAGCGAGGGAGCCTTCCCAGGAAGGAAAAATGGCGGCAAGACACCACAGCAGGAGCTGCTGGGAAAGGGAGGGAGGCCCTGAGGCGCAGCGGCTCAGACTGCCTGCTCTGCTTCACCCCTTGGCTTCTTATCGCTGACTGGCAGCTCAGGCCGGCAGCCATGAAGTTGCTGAGAGCAGCCTGCGGGACTCTGGGGCACTGGGCGGTGTTATGGTTCCAGCCCGGTGCGGCCCGGTTCCGTGACTATGGGGCAGAGGGACAAACAGCCTGGGCAGTGGGGACAGGGGTGTGGAAAGTGTAGGGAGGGGGCCTGCGTACAAAACAGCGTTGGCAGTGTCTCCCACACATGCCATCTGCAGTCCTTCCTGCAGCACTGAGTTCCGGGGGACCTTTCCTGGGTTGTTTCATTGAAATGTGCTTTTGCCAGCCCACCTTGAGGCGCATCTCATGGTGGGAAAAGGCCGAATCAGGCCCAGCAGCCAACACTGCAAAGCCAGTGAATCAAGGACGCAAACTGTACGGAGGAACATAGAAACCATAGGAATGTGAGTCCTTGAAGCTGAGTGAAGGGAAGCAGAGATGTGAGCAACTCAAGGCCAGAGGGGGGAGTCCTGTGAAAATAAGGAGGCACAGTTGCTGATTTGACACAGTGCAACCCCCTGAAAAGGCTGAAAGTTCACAGTGAGAAAGACATCCAGTGTCCAAGACATCCAGTGACCGCCAGAGACCCCCAGCACATCACTGGGACGCATGCTTAAGAGGGTGGGCCAGCATGTTAATAATTTCTCAGAATCCCAGCCTGTTTTCTTGGAATGTAGCAATATGTGCATGTTATGTCTTTAAATGTGTAACCATTGCTTTTCTCTGTGTGCGAGTCAAGAGGAGATATCCCCCTCGCACCCAGTGCCATAATACCCATACCTGCTTTATAATCTTACGTGGGTTACAGAGTTTGATTCCACATGCCTGCAGTATTCCCAGGTGGTGGGTCTGCAAGCTTGCTTGGCGGCACTGAGCAGCAGCAGGTCGACCTGGATGATGCTGAGTGTCACAAACTGCCCCCAGCTACAAGAGACTGAGCAGCTCTGGTTGGTTCTTTTGGGCTCTGTTGGGCCATTCTTGTGTCATTGGTGACCTGTGGATGCTGTCAGTGCCTTGTAAGGCAGACCCAGCTGTTTGTCCGGATGTGTCTTTAGGACTTGGTTACTCTGGTGTTTCCTGGATTCTGATCAGATCTGCCAGACTATACAACTAGGAGCTAAGACCCCTAAACCCACCAGCTATTTCTTAAAATACTGATTTGCTAGGAAAGTAACCCAACCAGATGCACTGTATGCACCCCATGTAAGTGCAGCCTATGTAAAGCAGAGCTTTCTACATAATCAGTCACAGAACAGGGGCTGGGATTGTTGGTGGCAGGAGCCAATGCAAGCCCTGGGCATTGTCTCTGTAGGAGTCTGTGTAGCTCTGGCACACAACGCCCCCCCACCCACTGTCCCAACTTTGAAATCCCGTGGTACCTCTTCAACGACACCAGGGTTTCCTTCTCCTCCTTTGAATCAGTCAGCAATGTGACTTCTTTCTTCCCCAAGGACACTGCCTACGTGCTCTTCTACAGGCAGCGGGAGGGCAGGCCAAGCTCCCACTGCATGAGGCTGTGGCAGAAGCCAGCCAGCTGCACAGCGAACTGTCCCTCAATAAGGACTTGATGGAAGCCATCTCCAAAGACAACATTCTCTACTTGCAGGTAGATCCCAGCTGTACACACACTGCACTTTCCCACTGAGATTGGGTGTTCATGAAGTCATGAAGCCATGAAGCAAAACCTCAGGCCTTACTCTAATGCTGAAGGCATGACGGCTAGGGAGCACATTGCAGAGGTGGGCAGAAAAAGAAGGGCCAGTCTGGGGACTCCCAGGCAGCTCTATCTTTCCCTCTGAACAGAAAATGGAAACCAAGGCAAATGCACTGATTGTTGCCATGGGGATTGGAGGCTGCCTGGGCTGTAGTGAGCATGTTATGGTTGAGTTCATGCTCCAGAGGGATATGGGACGGGCAAAGAGTAGAATTAGGAAGCTAAACTTTAGGAAAGCCTCATTCCTGCTCTTCAGGGTGTTATTCAACAAGATGCCCTGGGAAACTCATGGGCAAGAGTGTGGAGCAGAGCTGGCAGACGGGCAGCAGGGCGAGGGAGGTGATCCTGCCCCCCTGCTCTGTGCTGGTGAGGCTTCAGCTGGAGTACTGCGTCCAGATGTGGAGTTCTCAGAACAAGAGAGACAGAAACATGTTGGAGTGCGTCCAGAGGAGGGCCACAAAAAGGATCCAAGGGATGGAACACCTCTCCTACACGGACAGGCTGAGGTCTGGGGCTGTGCAGCCTGGAGAAGAGAAGGCTGCAAGCTGACCTGAGAATGGCCATCATAGCACCAGGTCCCCATTCCCAACCCAGCTTGGTGGTGAACAGCCGTGGGCAAAGGGACTCTGCATGTCCTGCTGCCATCAGTGCCCACGTCCTCAGGGGACCCCAGTGGGATTTTCCATGCAGCTCCACGGACACACATGGACAAACACGACCCATATGGGCACGCTGGGAACAGCTGAGGGCAGTCACGGAGCCCCAGCGTGTTTGCTGCATGGGGTGAGTGTCCCTGCTGTGCATGTGGCGGAGAGCTGCCTCCACCGTGGGTTGCAAAAGGGCAAAGGAGCTCGTCTGTGCTCCCAAAATAGGAGCGGGTTGCCACACACCCCGACTGTCTGTCCTTTGGCCCTTTTGGCAGCACTGGGCTGCTGCTTCTGCTGACGGGTGGGATTTCAGCAGCACCTCCTCACCCTCGGTTTCATCTCGGAGCGTTCTGTGTCCCCTGCAAGCAACTCCAGCATCACGATGGGGCACGAGGAGGTGATGGGGACCAGCCTGAGGCTGCTGAGCCTCATTTGCTGCCCTGAGCCCTGCAGCAGCTCAGGAGGGCAATGCTGGGATCAAAAGCTGGGAGCAGGAGGCAGTGTCCTAAATATTAGACTGCTGAACATGCAGTAGGCAATTCTAGTTTAAAGAGAACTTGGGTCACAAAGTCATCCTTGACAGATTCAGTATGTTCCCCTCTGCTTTCATTTTTAGTTTTCGAACATAACACACAGTTGTGAAAACCAAACCAAAAAAAATCATCGAAGTAGAGAAAAATGTAAGGGAAGCACAAAGTCATCATTTGAACAGAGCAACATAAAAAAGAAAGTGGAGCTGAGAGTATTTCATTGCCATATTCTATTTCTAGCATGCCCCTAGCATTAATTTCTTGGTTACAGTTGCAAACTGTAAGGATCTGATCCTTCTACTAACGTTATCTCATTTTCTTGCTCTGGCAAAATAAGGTGCAGAGTTTGATATCCAGGTTTTATTCTTTCACGGAAGTTTTATTAGTGTTTTTGATAGCTTTATGAGTAAATAAATGAATAAAGTTTTCTTCCCGTATGTGCACCGGATAGTATCATCTGTTCAGGTACGGGAGAGCCCAGCGGCTTCCTCTGCCCTGCCCAATGCGCTCATCACGGCAGGCCGCTCTGAGCACAGCTCCCAGCAGCGGGGATGGCGCTGGGGCAGCCGCAGCCCCCGGGGATGCGCAAGCGACAAGTGGCCCCAAAACAGAGCACTGTAGCTTCCCATCGAGGGACGAAGGCAGACGGGCGGCCCGAGCCGCCGAGCCGCGGTGTCACCAGCGCCGGGCAAGGGGACATTTCTGCGGAGCCGTCTGCTCCGACGCCCGTCGGCGCCCCCGTCTCCAGAGCAGCCCAACGGCATTTTGCACGCAGCTGCACATCCGCCAGCGTTGCCGTCAGCCCCGTGCCGTCGCTGCGGCGCGGGGTCGCTCAGCACATGGGCACTGACGTCCCCGGAGTGCCGCAAGCGGGGACAAAGGTGCCGTTCCTCCCCCCGGCACGGAGCCCCAGCAGGGACGGGGGCACGGAGCCAGGGACGCGGCGCTGCCCAGCGGGAGGCGGAGAGAGCAGCGGGGAGACGAGAGCGGAGTGGCATAAAAGCCCGCGGGGCCGGGCAGCGGCGGGACGCGAGGAGAGCCGAGGCACGGGGCATGGAGCAGTACTTCTCGGCCACGCAGAAGATGGAGCAGGAGGTGATGTTCCCCAGCCTGCTGCGAGGGGTCTTCCCGCAGGACGGCACCGACCCAGCCGCCGGCGGCCCCGCGGACCTGTATGAGCGCTACCAGCTCCTCAAGGCCATCAAGCCCGTGGTGGAGCGAGGCCTGGCCTCCGTCACCGAGCGTGGCTCCGCCGGCGACTCTGACTCCAACTCCGACGCCGACGACGCCGCGGCATCAGCCGACGGGGCGGACGGCAGCCTGGAGCAGCGGCTGTGCCACCACCTGGCCGGACTGCAGCAGATCCTCAGCCACCTCACCAGGGACACCACCGCCCTCACGCGCCGCTACAGCCAGATCCTGGAGCGGATCAGCCCCAGCGACGCGCAGCCCAGCTGGTGACCCCGCGTCCCCACGGAAGAGCCGGCGGTGCCGTTCCGCGGTGCCCCGCGGCGCTGCCCGGCTCCGCCGTCCGCTCCGTTCTCGGGCCTCGAACTCTCGCCGAGCTCGGACGGAGCCGCGCGGCGCCGGCGCCTTCGGGCTGGATCCCGGAGCCGCGCGTCGCTCCCCTGTCTTTGCTAATAAAAGGAACTCTCCGCAGCCGCCGTCCGCACGATGCTTTCCCCGGCGCGGAGCCCCGGCACGGGGCGCGGAGGAGGGCGGGGACCCGCGGGACGGGCGGCCGCTGGGGGTGGCGGCGGGTGGAGGGGGGGCGGAGCGGCGCTGCCCGCGTCCCGAGTGGGGCTGGGGGGGCGGCGAGGACGAGGGCCGTCATGGGGCGGCGGGAGCGGCGTGGGATCCGTGCTGGATCCCCGGCTCCGTTCCCAGTCGCGCTGTGCTCACTAAGCACGTCCCTCAGTGCCGCATCTCCGCGGTTCCTGAGCGAGGTGCTGAGTGAGGCGTCACCGGCATCCAGTGTGGAGCAGAGCTGTCCCTGTGCCCATGGCCTCGTGGTGCTGTGCCACGGGTCACAGGGGGACATCAGCTCCCACTGAGGTGAGGGGAAAGAGGGCTGATGGCCTTTTTCCCTGCCCAGAGCTGAAGGACAGCCCCTATATCACAAGACAGTGGTGGCAGGGAGGAGGGCTGCGGGCTCCTTGGGCTGTGCTTTGGCTCGGGCTGGAGAGGCTCAGGGTGCCCATGGATGTGTCACCTCCGGACATCCCAGTGCTCAGTACTGCTATAGAACATGGCTGATAAGAGCTGTGAGACGTTCCAGATCCGCTCTGTGACCTGGGATGAGCACCAGAGGTCCCTGGCAGCGCGGCACCGTGTCCCCAGGCAATTGTCAGCCCAGGGTGGGATGCGGCTGATAAGAGGCAGGTGGCCACGGGGCGGTCATTGTCCTCATATGGCCAACAAGGCTGGGACTGGCACAGCAGAGGTGGGAGCAGATCGCCTCCTGATGGTGCTGCAGGATCCAGCAGCGTGCACGTGAAAGCCATGTGTGGTGCTGGGAGCTGCCACAGGGCCAGGGCTGGCGGTGCTGGGCAGGACAGGGCGAGAGGCCCCACACACCTCCCCTCCTCAGCACCACTCTCCCTGCGTGCCCAGGAACGTGGTGGCACCGGGGCCAGATGGGGCCAAGGCCACGGCGGGCTGAGCTGGGGACGAGGGCACAGAGCCAGGGACACGGCGTGGCCAGCTCCAGTAGGACCAGAGCCAAAGGCAGCCCAGCAGGATGGAGCAGAAGAGAGCAGAGCTGCTCTGCTCCTGGGGATGGGCGTGCGGGGAGTGCTGACAAAGCACAACACTGCTGCTGTTCTCCCATTCCTCCATTCTTCCCTTGCTCTATTTTCTGCATCGCCTCCTGCAGCGCACCAGCACAGCCATCACACCACTGCTGACTTTTCTCTACTCAAGACCGCAGCTTCATTGTTTTCCTCAGGCTTTTCTATTTCCAGATTTGAACATTCAAATAGAACTGGAAGGGCTTTCACCTTCAGACGTGATGAGCACCATGCAGTGAAATCCCAGAGAGATGCAGATGCTCAGCACGACTGGAAACGTTTGGGTTCAAGATGCAGATTCAGAATCCACAAAGCGAGGAAGCAGAAACACCAGATCCTGATCACCAGGCAAAGAAAAGGCAGCACTGAGAATGAACAAACGTGAGCATGCGAAATACACAGAGGGAACTGATTATGGGAAGCACAGAATTCCTTTCACAGCATCACTTTGGCTCCAGGGGTGGTGCAGAGCAGGCTCAGTAGTCAGCAAAAATGACACACACGTTCTGGCTTATTTTAAATGCGTACAATCTACCATTTTCATGCTTAAAAATTGAAGTAAGGAGTGAATCAGAGTTAACAGAAGAGTAAACACTCTGTATTTCATCATTAACTTTTATTTAATGGGATTGAACAATGGTTCCCCTTCCAAGCATGGGCAGCTGAAAGGTCGTGGGCAGCCCTGGAGTTCTCAGCACAGAAACAGCTCAGCAGAAGCATCAGCGAATTGGATAGAAATCCTCCAGAAGCTCTCCTATTCTTTTCTTTTCTGCAAAAGGCAGCAAGTGGAGTCAGGAAAACCCTTATTGGACACTTGAGATCAATGCTGGAGTTGGGAAAACACTGTTTGGCATTTGAGATCATTCCTAAAGACCTCAGTATTGAAGTCATCACTATTATTCCTGTTTGAAGGGTTAATATGCCACCAAGAACCATCTCCTGCTACCAACAGTCAACTCCAGGCTTGCTGCATAAACCCAGCATGCAATTCCTCTTCCATACAGCTGCATTTTGGCCTTTCTGGCAATTCTAGTTATTCCTTTTCCCACCTGCTCTACTTATTTTCTGTTTACTCATCACAACATCTTGCTATCCACACGCACTGCAGCCTCGAGACACTCAGGACACCACGAGGGACAGCACTCATTCAGCACACTGCAAGGGAACCACCTCTCCCTGGTGACCTGTCACTTCCAAAGGAAAAGCCCTTTGGTTACAGGTTACCAACCTGCTTCCTTGAAATCTTCAGGGTGCCTCCTGACATAATCAAGCAGCTCTCTGTCCAGTTTAGCGTGGACATACTCAGCATGTTTAACAAGGAAATAGCCAGCAAACCATCCCACAGTAACAAACAGGATCTGGCGGTGAACACCTGCAACAGGGAGAAACCCCAAAGCAATGATTTCAACTGTCATTTTCTCCCCACGTGTCCCTCATGGAGCGCCCCAAATCTTCCCCACAAAACACCTCATTCCCCAACCTCCTGAATGCCTCCTCCTGGATTCTCCACCATATCCCCCTCAGTCTCTCCCTGCTAAGTCCCCCCATCCCTCACCTCAGTACCCCACTGAGTACCCCCAATATCCTACTTCTAAAGCTTCCCCACCACCCCATGTCCCTCAGACTCCCCTTACTCCTCTCCAGCATCCCTCTGAGCTCCCCAAATCTCGCCCATAACCCTCTCAGACCCCCTACATCCCATACCCAAATCTCTCACCTCAAGGCTCCCCCCATCCCTCTGAGTCTCCCCCAATCGTTCCATATCTTCAAGTTCTCCCAAAAAAGCCCAAATCCCTCTCAGCTCCCTCAGACCATCCCCATAACTCTCACAGTAACCTCAGACCACCCTCATATCCCCCCCACAGTCCTCCCACAACCCTCTGAGCAACCCCATGAATCTCAGTCCCCCCCATCTCTCACCTCAGTTCTCCACCCTTCCAAATCCCCCACATTAGCTTTCTCACCTCTGAGTTTCCCCACTGCCCAACGTCTCTGAGTCCCCCAGATCCCTCACAAGTCCCCTCAGATCCCCACAACTCTCAATCCTCCCACATTCTCCCCGTATCCCTCAGAATCCCTTCCAAATCCACCACACATCCATGAGTCCCCTAAAAACCCTCCCATATCCCCCAGTTCAGAGCTTTCATCACCCCATGCCCCTCAGCCTTCTCAGCTCCCTCCAATATCCTTATGAGCCACCAAATCCCACCCCCACTCTGCATCCCCTTACATCCCCTCTCATTATCCCTCACCTCAGGGCTACCCATTTTCCATGTCCCTCAGACTCACCTTAATCCCCCCAATATCCACCACAACCCCCAAATTATCCCCATACAGCCCCACCCCATCCTGTACCTCAAGGCCCTCCACCCCTCTAAGTCCCTCAGACTCCAGTTCATCCCTCACAATATCTCTCCAAGCCCCCCCCCCGGTATCCTCACTATCTCTCACCCCAGTGTTTTTCCCCCCTGCTCATATCCCTCCAAATCCCCAAAGCCCTCACAAGAGGGATTTCTGACAGGAAGGCCACAACCCGCAGTCCTCCCAGAATCCTCCACATCCCTCAGAATCCAATCCAAATCCCCACCTCCCTGAGTCCCCCAACCAAGGTCCTCCCATATCCCTTAGAGTTGCTCTACATCCCTCCTGCCACATCCCTCATCTCAGGGCTTCCCCCTCCACCCCACATCCCTCTGAGTCCCCTCAACCCCCTCCAATATGCCCCTGAGCACCTCAAATCGCCCCAGGTCCTCTCTTAGTCTCTCAGATTCCCCCACATCCTTCAGAATTTCCTCCAATCCCCCCCCTCCCCCCATCACATTCCCAAGTCCCCTTCCCAAGGTCCCCATTCCTCAGAGACCCTCCCCACTGTATCCCTTGGAGTCCTCTCCAAATCTCCCCCCCAGTCCCTCATCTCAGGGCTCCCCACCCCTCCACATCCTTCAGAGCCCCCTCAATTCTTCCTAACATCCCTCTGAGTCTCCCCCACCAAACTCCTTATCCCTCACCTCAGGGTCTTCCCCCATCCCTCAGAGTCTCCCCCAACCCCTGCATACCCCTGACACTCCTCAGAATCCCCCAAATTCCACTCACATCCCCCCCACATTACTAAGACTGCTCCAAGGCACTCCCACATCCCACAGAGATCCCCCCTCTGTCTCTCAGAGTCTCCTCAATCCCTGCAGTCTCCTTGCAACCCCCCTACGTCTCCTCACAATCCCCTCAGCCCCTCACCTCAGCGTTCCCCACATCCCATATCCCTGTGTCCCCTCAATCCCACCAGTACCCTTCCCAACATCCCAAGTCCCCTCACAGCCCCATCAGCCCTTCACTTCTGGACTCCCCACAACTCTCATGGTGCCCTCAATCCCTCCAGCATCTCCTCACAGCTTCCCCACATCCCCCAGCCCCTCACCTCAGCGGTTTCCACATCCCATATCCCTCAGAGTCCCCTCAATCCCTCCCAAATCTCCTCACATTCCCCCAGTACCCTTCAGAGCCCCCCTCAGCCCCTCACCTCAGGGCTCCCCACATCCCATATTCCTCACAGTGCCCAGATCCTCCCAGATCTCCTCACGTTCCCCCAGTATCCACTCACAGCCTTCCCACATCCCCCTGCCTCTTACCTCAGGTCTCTGCAAAGTCCATATCCCCCATAGTCCCCTCACCCCCATAGTTTCCTCCTCCAACACTCTTAAGTCCCCTTACAGCACCATCAGCCCCTCACCTCAGGGCTCCCCACACCCCACAGTGCCCTCAATCCCCCCAGTATCCCCTCACAGCTTCCCCACATCCCCCAACTCCTCACCTCAGGACTCAGGAGTTCCCACATCCCACATCCCTCAGAGTCCCCTCAATCCCTCCCAAACCTCCTCACATTCCCCCAGCGCTCCTCACAGCCCCCTCAGCCCCTCACCTCAGGCTCCGCACAGCCCACATCCCCATATTCCCCTCACCTCCCCCAGTATCCCTCCCAACAGCGCAAATCTGCTCGCGATCTCCTCAGCCCCTCACTTCACGACTCCCCACACCCCTCACAGTGCCCTCAATCCCCCCAAATCTCCTCCCATTCCCCCAATATCCCCTCACGGCCTCCCCACCCCCTCACCTCAGGGCTCCGCACATCCCATATCCCCCCCATGGTCCCCTCACCCCCCACTATTCCTCCCAACACCCAAATCCCCTCACGATGCCCTCAGCCCCGCACCTCAGCCCTCCCCCCCCCCCACCCCCCCCTCAGCCCCGCCTCCCCTCACCCGCTCTCAGGACGGGCCGGTGAGCGAAGCCGTTATCCAGCAGGGCCGCCAGCCAGCCGGTCAGCCCCAACCACACCGAGCCCTTGTTCACGAGGGGCGGCGGCGGCAGCGAACGGGCCTCGTCCGGGAGGAACGGCATGGCGGCGGCGCCCAAAGGTGACCGCGCGGTGCGGCGCTGCCTGCGCTCCGCCGCTCGCGGAGCCCCGAAAACGAGTTCCGCTCGGAGCGGGGCGGCTCCGCCTCACTGCCGGGGACCAGCCGCTGGACGAAGGGATGGCAGCGGGAGAAGGTGGCGCTGGCGTTAGGATACATTTCTGCTCCGAAAGAAGCGCAGAAGAGTGGCGGTGCCCCATCCCTGGGTCACCCAAGGGCAGGGCAGACGGGCTGCGGTGTCGCCGTGCACTGCAGGGGAGATGGAACAGATGGCCATCAGGGTCCTTTCCAACATAAAGCACTCTACGATTGCCTTGCACCCTAAACGGTGTTACGGCTCAGGTCAGAGATGTGGCTCAGTGTGCAGCGTGCCTACAGCAGTGAATGAGGGTACAGCAAAACTTTCTGAGAAGACTGAAAGACTTTCAGAAACAGTGTTGCAAGCAGGAGCAGAGCAGTGATTGTTCCCCTGTACTCAGCTCTGGTGAGGCCTCACCTCGAGTACTGTGTCCAGTTTTGGGCCCCTCACTGCAAGAAAGACATTGAGGCCCTGGAACGTGTTCAAAGGAGGGCAACAAAGCTGGTGAGGGGTCTGGAACACAGGGCTGATGAGGAGAGGCTGAAGGAGCTGGGAATGTTCAGCCTGGAGAAGAGGAGGCTCAGGGGAGACCTCATTGCTCTCTATAACTTCCTGAAGGGAGGTTGTAGTGAGCTGAGGGTCGGCCTCTTCTCTCGTGTCATCAGTGATAGGAGCAGAGGGAATGGTTTCAAGCTACGGCAGGGGAGATTCATGACATGAGGAAGTATTACTTTTCAGAAAGGGTGGTCAGGCACTGGAATGGATGCCCAGGGAGGTGGTGGAGTCACCGACCCTGGGGGTGTTCAAGGAAAGACTGGATGTTGTGTTGAGGGACATGGTTTAGTAGGAGCTATTGGGAATAGGTGAACGGTTGGACTGGATGAGCTTTTAGGTCTTTTCCAACCTTGGTGAGTCTATGATTCTATGAAAGAGATGATGAAGCAACTAATGCAAGCACAGGGATCAGGACAAGCTCCAGGCAGGCAGTGTGTGCCTTGTGGTACAGCTGCCATCCAAAAACACGAAAGAGGGCTCGGAATAAAAATACCAAGTTTTTATTTACACATTGTGCAGTATGCTGTGACAATGCTCACCTCTACGCAGCAATGATCTTCTGTATGTTAACAAAAATAGAATGGCAAATTACAAAGAGTAATGTGAAAGGCGGGCAGGTTTTGCCCAGGGCAGAAGTCTGGACCTCTCGCAGTCAGTACAAATACAAAGTTCTTTGCATGATGCTGCATCTCGCTGTGATGAGTGATTCCAAGCAGAGGTATCGCAGTTGGACAGTACAGAAGCGTTGGGAGAAACTTCCCTGATGGAGACAATACACATTCAGCCAGCAAGACAGCAGATGTCCTTACGACAACCCCTCACAGTGCTTGATCATCTCAAAGGGACAAGCTGGGATGGCTCCCACCAACGTGACGTTACTCAGCCTTCTGTCTAATAGAAGTTCTTTCAGATAAGACGGAGACATAAAGTTTCAGCCACACGTACGTGATGCCCAGAGCACAGTAAACAGAGGTCAGCAACAGGGGGACAAAAGGAAACCGCGGTTTCCAGGGGGTCAGAGGAAATACAATTTCACAGAAGATTTCCAAAGGCACCAGATGGATGAGGTAGATTGTTTCGAGCCAGTTCAGGAGAGGCTTCTCCCTCCTGTCAGAAAGGATTAAAAAGTGTTAAAATACTCACTGTCACTAAAAATAACCATTCCTCTTTCCAGCTACCACTGGTGACACATAACCAGCACAGAGAGCATCACCCACTCGCTCATAGGAAGGCTTTAAGTAACAACTACATCTTCTGAGCTTTCAGTACAAAAACGTGCAGCACAGCTGATTCCCTTACCATGTTTTTGTACCCTCTTCCAAGGTGCCTTTGTTCAGTAGAAATGGATTCAAGTTTAAAATATCTCAGCAGCTGCTTTACTTTACCTCACACCAAAGAACCAAACAGATTTCTGTTCTTCCTACACATATCTGTTCCACAGCAGTTCCTTAGACCTAAACACTGGAACCATCAGTTTTTGTCATGACCACTGCCCCCTCCCCACAAGCCTCCTGTAACCAGTATGAATGTGTCTTGCCAAGGACACTGGTTGCACCTGGACTGCAAGCAGTTTACAAGCTACATTTGTTTTCTTCTGGAAGGAATTTGTTTTGTTTTTTGGTTGTTTTTTTTTTTGCAAAGTTAGGAACAAGAGATTTGCAAAAGCCTAAGCTCTAGACAGAGCTCCTACAGAGGAACTGAAGCACCTGAGAAGGAATTAGTGGATTCCACAACAGTAGGGAGGGAAAAATGCAGCCTGCTTGAAAATGGATGACCTTCAAAAAGCAGGTGACTGATGCAGTGAATGCAGATTTCTGGCATTTCCAACAGATCTTTCGTTACAACTTGGCTTTGCCATGAAAAGTTCAGGAAACAGGAACGTGACAGCTACAGGATTCCTAATGACAGGCACTGTATTTGACTGAGTGGGCAGCAAGCAGATCAGTGTCCCATGAACACGCACTGGACAATTCAGACAGCCCACAACCAAATTACAAGTTGTAAAGTATGCTCTTCATAACCTGCCCCTTATAAACGTGGGAGTAATGAGCACTGCTGCTTAAGCACAGCAGTATTTTTAACTCCTGGCACTCTGGGAAGCACTCCAATACAGAATTAAATTCTAATAAAGATTGCTGTTGTACCTTTATGCACATCTGAGGAGGCTGGGATTTACCATCTGAGAGCAACTGGGTGGCTGTCTGTACAGGACATCCTTGTGATGTTTGAACAAGTCCTATCTTAAGCCTTTCCTCCTGAGAATTTCCTAATTTCCTAATATTTCCTAATAGAAGTAGTTTCATTCTTTGCTTCAAAATGAAGTCTGTTTTTATTACCTGTACAGCGATTTCAGTGAAGAGAAGCTATAAACGCTGAACAGCAGCATAAGCAGTATTTTAATTGGAAGTTCTGAAATACAAAAGAACACAACATAGGTTTAAAATAAATTCTAACAAGCTTGTGCCACATACACTGCAGCATCCTGAAGTGCTAGTATTCAAGCTGGTGATGCCCATACAAGTTATCCTATCCAAGCTGAGCAAAACGATTCATAGCTTAGGACACAAAAAGATGGGCACAGATTCTTACTAAAGAACATGCCAAGCATTACAACACAATGACTGCATACTGAACACAACCATAATTACAACATATGGCAGCAATAAAAACAAATGTTACTGGTAGAATTTACAGAACTGCTGGCAAGTTTCAAACAGACGAGCCACTGCTATCCAGGCTGTGCATGGGACAACTGTCAGTTAATAGAGAGTGCAAAGGAAGTCCACAGAATCACAGAATTGTAGGGGTTGGAAGGGACCTCCAGGGATCATCGAGTCCAACCCCCCTGCCAAAGCAGGTTCCCTACAGCAGTTCCTAATGTCTCAATGTAACAGCCTCTCTACTGCACATAAACAGCATTACCTGACCAAAAGGAGAGCATGTGGATTTGAACTCTATCACATCTGCAGCCAATCATTATTCTAGAGGTTACACTGCTGTCATAGCTCTGCTTATTTCACTTAAACCTTAGCATGTCTGATTAACCAAAGGCAGGGTGAAGAAGGTTGGAACAGCATCTGTCTACAAGAACAAGCCTATCCCCACACGTACTGATTTAATTGATGCTGCTGCAGGAATTTCAATTTATTTAATTGATAGCACTAGCAATAGTCAGCTGGAAAAGTCAGCTGGAAAACAGCCCACCAGGCTTGCAGTCTCCAATTGTCTTTGTCACTTTTGCTTGGCAGGGCTGTGTTAGGCAAAGGGAAGTTTCTCCCAGTGTAACTTGGTGAGGGATAACAAATGCTGGCTATGATTTCCCATCTCCACTTCAATCTGGAGCCCAGGGCTCTCCTGCAGCGTTGTTTATCTTTCTAAGACTCATAGTCTCCTGCAATTTTCAGCTTCTAACAAAATAATCCAAGGAAGACACCTTACCTGGTGCTGTGAACAGCAATGGAAAAAGTGAGAAATGCCCTGTGGTTGTTAGAATCAAGTAGATGCCAGCATCCTTCGCTCTCTGAACAGACAGCAAGCTAAAAGTGACAAGAATTTATGTTATCCAGCCTTTTAGTAAATTCAGCAACACCACACAAGTCACAAAAGAGACTTAAGAATGGGTCACATAGAGCTCTGTAACACCCCAGTCCTCCCAGATTCAAACCTGTGATGGAATCTCTTGCTTCCAAGCCAGCTAGCCTCACAAAAATGCAGAAAAAAAGTCAGCAAGGAAACCCCACCACAGAAAACCCTTATCTTCCTTTCCCCAGTATTTCCAGTTCTGCAACAGAGTTGTGCACACAAGTAACAATATTTTCCAATTGTGCTGATTTCACATATCAAAGCTGGCGCTGGTTAGGATCCTCTTCTGAGGATTCCTCAGCAAGTGGCAGCAGGTTCAGTTTGGCCAACCACCACACAGGGAACTCACTTACCTTAAAGGCAGAATAGCAAGGAGTATTGCTTTTTCATGCACGTGCCAGCCAAACATGAAGGAGCTCAATGCACAGAGAACAAGGCACTGAAGAAAGCCTCTGGGCCCTTGAGGTTTAAACCAAAGACAGAAAACAGAGGGCTAGAAACAACAGGCAAAAACAGGACTTCAGTGAAGTTTTGCAGTTCTGAATGCAAGCCATTGTCCAAAAGCTTTTCAACATCACACAGCTGTGATTATATGGCACAAGAATCATACAGCACTGGAGGAACAGAATCTACTTTGATGCTGTTTCTGGATGTAGAACCTGAACAACTTCAGCTTTTCCCCTCATGCCATATATTGATAAAAACTCCAATCTCGCAGGCAACTCCGCCATCACTTCTGAGGCCAGGCTGCGAAGCTCTTGATATAGAAGTTACTGCCCACTAGTGTTGAAACAAAGCATTCCAGTTAAAGGCTCATACATACCTCCACAAGAGTTGAAAACTCCGTAGGCAGGTCATTACTTACTGAACCTTCAACTCTATCCCTGCAAGCATGATGTTCTTACATGACAGGCAGGTCATGCTGACAGGAACACAGCAAGCTGCCCACACCACTCCATCATCATCTCTGCTCAAATCCTACTTCAGCTGCCTTCTATCACACAACATGCACAGAGTGCAAGACTGCTTCTGATCTCTTAACTGTTCTAGAGCCATAGATCGTAATCGTACTCATACTTGAATAATACTGCATATGAAAAAAGATATTAACTTCATATTTACCCTGATAAATTATTATTAATAGTTTAATGAAGTGTATTTTTGCCCTGCAATGAAAATTTATGAAGTGTGCATTAATTAAACAAAAACCACTGGGGACACAACACATTTCCAATGCCGTGATTTCTTCTTACCAATATCGATATGAAAGTACAGATTAATGTTGCCAGTGGAGTCACAGAAGGAAGGACAGTGTGCTGAAATTCTTGAACCAGCCCTCCTGTCATCGAGGCTTTAGGAATTTTTGTGGGATCGAGAAAGTTATACTTCAAGCCTGAAAGCAAAGTACAAACTGATTATTAATAAAGAAAAAGCAGCTGCAGAACTGAACCAAAACTAAACTGTTGTACAGAACAGGATTGAAGTATATGGATAAGATTGTTTTCTTTGAGAAAAAGATAAAGAGGGAAGACTGATTTCAGATCTCTCACTGGAAACATGACATGGAATGAGTTACATGGATCATCAGCTGATTTCAGGCAAACTGAAAATGTGATCTGCTCCCTGCATGGGGAAGGAGGACTCAAAGAAGCACCAAGTAGTGAGATCTGCATACTGTACCAACAAGTGTGAGTGCTTTATCCACAGCACTGTACAGAGCCCAGAAGTTCGGGGCCCAATAAGCATGGCACAGGCCTCGCTTGAAAGGAAAGAGGCGTGAAACCACTTGAGGCAGCTGGCCCTACAGGAAAATAAGAGAATGGAAGAAAATAAATGAGACATAGTTGACATTTGTATACATTGTTCTAACAGTACAGGTGAACAGCAGGTGGGTTATTACCAATACTATGAAGGGGCCCAATGAAACGGCAGAAACAAGGCAGACAATCAATGCCAGAAGGGTTATACGAAGAAAGCTGAAACTCCTCCACTTCACAGATCCATCTACAAGAAGCAGACAGACTGTGAATGCAGTTACTGCAGCAGGTGCAGAGGCAGACAAAACACCCCACCCAATCAGAGACCTCCTAGCACTAACTACAAGTACAAAGCCCTCGATATCAATATATTCAATTGTTTCCTTGACTTTTTAGCTAATTCAAGACATGCAAAGCAATCTGTATAGCATTTTCATGGAGGTGAGAAGAAGCCAGCAGGGCTTTTAGTTTGTTCTGAATTTAAGCACAGAGAGGGCAATCATCAATCACTGTACTTTCTGCCTGTTTGGGTTAAAAGGAGGCTTGTGTTCTTCAATAACCTTTGCCCATTTACTTTTTCCACATGGCAGCTCCTACTTTATATAGCCTTTTGTTTTTCCCCTTTAAAGAAAGGCACCTCCTTTGTTTCACGTGAGGAATACAAAACTCTTTTTACTTCTCAAGCAAATGGAAAGGTTCCCAACTCTGTTCCCCATAAGAATCTTCATCTGACCCACAGCCATCCTGTCCCAATGGCACCAACAAGTCTTCCACCTTCCTCATATCTCACCAAACACAACCCCCAAAAAAGCAAGTGCAAAACCCCACCTCACCTGCATTACTTGCAGTAAAACAATAGGAGCGCAGCAGATAAACGCCATAAGCTGGGGCCACGTATAAGTAGATGTGTTTGAAATGCAGAAGAACAGCAAAAAGAAGAGCACCTTCCAGATATCTCCTCTAAAGGAAAAAGAATAACAGAAGAAAACAAAAAAATGCACGCTTTTCTACTTGTTCTCCCTGCATATTAACTTTAAATAGTTCCCTAGCGGATTCCTGACAAGACATTTATCAGAAGCATACAACCAAATGGATTTTTACTTCAAATTACAACCTATATTGTTATGCATAATCAGTGCAGACAAGGAAACTATGCTGTCAGATCTTACTAAGATAGGCCTCACTACCTTGCAGCTTCTAAGAACTGGTGACTTGGAGATGAGATGGCAGAAAGCCACATCATGTTGTTCAGGTATAACAGAAATCAGCTTTCTGACAGCAAACTGAAATGCCGCAGCATCAATAAGCAGCTGCAGTGATATTCAGGTTCTCCTCTTACCCTGAGGCTCAAGAAATAATTAGACACACAACTCTGAGCCACCCCCATGGACTCCTCCCACTGAAACTAGAAGAGGTCAACTGATGTACCTAAAAGAAATCTGCAAGAATAGTAATTAAAAGCAAAAAACAAAACACGGAACAACTTAAGTTTACCTGACACAGTCGGGCAACAGAGAGAAGCATCAGGCCAAACAGAAAGCCATTGTACTGAAAGTGAATGTCTGAACTTGAGTCAGGGAAGGAATACAAGAAGCTTTCTCCACAACTATCAGTCTCCTGTATAGGCTCAAACATATAATCAAACTAAAAATGGAGCTTAAATCAAGAAAGCAGCCTTTAATACACTCCATGTAGACACAAAGACATTCCTAACCTTAACTAAGAACACAGGGTCTACTAAACTTAGAATGCTATTGAGTGCAAGGAAACAAAGTAATTTGACTGCATACCTAACATGGAACTGCATCACAAAACAAACAAAAGGTTAACTCTCCACTTTCTGAATTTTAAATATTAGTTTCTGCCTCACATTGATCAATGGATGGAGATGGCAGCCCTCACTCATCACATGTCACCTGTAAGCATGCAACTCAGACAAGGACAGGAAGGACAGAACTAGTCCTGCCCACAAGAAGGAATGACTGCTGCTTTTTTCCTGTTCTCTCTTTAGCCAGATCAATGAACATGACGTCCAAACCAACCGACAGCAATTGGACTTTCTACAGTTATTTTTACATCCAAGGTTGAAGACACCTTGCTATATCCCACACAACATTAATCAGCTCCATAATGATCATACTTGTGGCTTTTTCAGGAGTTAAAATAAAAAGAGCACCAACACAAATAACTGGTGTGGTTTGTAAGGATACGATCCACAATTAACAGCCCAAAGTTCCACAAGAGCAGAACAGCGAGAATAAAGGTTGGTTTTTCCAGAATATCCTTTGCAGCTCGCTTCCCATTCACACATCTGCAGCATCTGAACAACAACAAAAGAAACAAAAGTCTTAGTTGAAACAAATGAAAACCTCGTTGCTTCTTGAAGCTAAAAACTGCATTTAAATAAATCTTATTTGGATGGAAGGCAACGATAGAATTCTTGCTAAACTCATCAAGAGGAGTGCCACAAATACCGTTGAGTAGGAAAACAGAATTAATATTCAGAAGCTGCTGTAGCAATTTCCACATGTTAAAGTTCATTAAGTAACTGTCACAGGCTCAAGTCTCATCTTCAATAACACCACTACAGCTACCACTGTTTGCTGCTGATTTTGGAACCAGAAGTACTGCATTTCAAGTCATCACCCTCGATTCTAGCCCTCCCTCTCTCACCAATACCGGCAGCCTGTCATACAGTCCTACGGTCAAAATGTGTTGAAGTTAAGGTTAGAACAGATTAAAAACAATTGTGATTGATTTGGGAGCTGTTAGAGAGCATCCAGAGGGCCATAAAGATTATTAGAGGGTTGGAGCAGCTCCCCTATGAAGATAGCCTGAAGGAGCTGGGCTTGTTCAGCCTGGACAAAAGAAGGCTGTGGGGTGACCTCATTGCAGCCTTCCAGTACCTAAAGGGAGCCTACAAACAGGAGGGGAGTCAACTGTTTGGAAGGGTAAATAACTGCAGGACAAAGGGAAATGGTTTGAAGTTGAAGGAGGGAAGATTGAGGTTGGATGTCAGGGGGAAATTCTTTACAGAGGGAGTGGTGAGGTGCTGAAACAGCTGCCCAGAGAGGCTGTGATGCCCCGTCCATCCCTGGAGGTGTTCAAGGCCAGGTTGGATGGGGCCCTGGGCAGCCTGGTCTAGCATTAAATGTGGAAGTTGAATGCCCTCCTGTGCTGGGGGGATTGGAGCTTGATGATCCTTGAGGTCCCTTCCAACCAAAGCCATTCTGTGATTATGCTGCATTGCTTTTGGTAGCACCATTCTTCTCTCTTGCAAAAGCAAGGCACACTAAAAATATAATCTTAATTTTGTTAAGTTACACTTGGAATAATTGGTTTATCATCTAGATACCAAAACCACAGGAGTGACTTAGAATCTTTGATCATACTGGCACCTCATCACAAGTTTCTTTCATGTCTCTACTCCTTAGGAGCAGAGCAATAATAGGAAAAAAAGCAGTCGAGCTTACCCAAGTGGATCCAAAAGCCCTGCAAAGCAACCCAGTGACAGAAACAAAACATCAAGAGCGTGTGAAAAGGCTGCTGATACCTTAGTATGTAAAAAAAAAAAAACCAATCACATGTACAGCTGTAACTTTTGTTCTTCTTGGCAATGCTATCTTGCATTGAGCAGCAGGCTCCATGTTTCTCCTTCAAAGCTAAAGCAGCTCTGCTGTTGGCTTTTTTTTTTTTTAAAACAAGCTTCTATGTACAAATAATGTAGTTGTTACTCAACAATGTAAGAGACTGCCCACTCTCCCTAAAATTAGAACATTAAGACTTACTCACGAACTGCATATATGAAGAGAACATCTGTGAAGATGACAGAAAATCTTTGGAAGAAGATGGTTGCAGGACTGGTGTAATTCAGATTTCCAATAACCAACATCTTCGGGTCAAAGTACTTGGCAATATGTGACAATGCATATTCAAACCAAGCAAAAAAAGGTGGATAATCCAGGGTCCATTCTGAAGTTGCCTAAAGACAAAATGAGATTAACCAATTTAATACAATTTAGGCTGTTTGCAGTCTCTCAAGTGCTGCTCATCACAACAAATCAGTTGATCATTTAATCTTGGTAGCCTCCATTTAACAGAGGCTACTTCACAACAAAGTAGCCAGCTGTAGGGTGCCAGACATGACTTCAGCTGTTCTGCTGTACTGATAGAGGAATAGGACACCTTTCTATTGGCAGAAGGTTGAACATTATTTTGATAACCTCTACTTAACTCATATAGAATCATCCGCTCCTTAAACCTCAACTTGGAATAGTGCCAGTGTTCAAAAAGATCAATAACATTTTGTTGTCTACAATAGAGGAATCATCAGCACAGTCTTGTTACATCTTTGCTCTCAATCTAACCCTTCTACTTTATGGCCCATGACATTAGGGGTGGATGGTGGTGGTACAGCAGTAGAGGAGCAGACGGCACCTACAGCAAAGGAGTGTCACTGAATTTCTCCACATGGAAAAAAAAAAAAATGCACCCACTGCCATTCGTCAGTGCTTGCTGAATGTTTAGAGACCAAACAGATAAAGTCAGACCGCATGTGTAGCCTTTTCTTAGCAACAATACCAAAATAGCAGCTGAGAAACAGCACGTCACCTCCACAGGTGCAGACTTCTTACAAGCACAGCACAAAGGCTTTTCACAAAATCACACAAACACCAAGGATGGAAAAGACCTTCAAGATCATCCAGTCCAACCATCCAGCTATCACCAACAGTTCTCACTAAACCATATCCCTCAACACAACATCCAAACATTCCTTGAACACCTCCAGGGTTGGTGACTCCACCGCCTCCCTGGGCAGCCCATTCCAGTGCCTGACCACTCTTTCAGGAAAGAGAAGTAGTATTTCCTCTTGTTCATCAGTGGCAAAGATGCATAGCTAATGGTGGTGATTATGTTGAAAAGCAGTGTTTTGCAGCTGAAAATTTGCTCTATCAGACAGCAGTACTTCGCATTTTTAAAATCTGCTGTAGTTTCCATGGGTGCTGTGTCCCTGGAGGTGCCAAAGGCTACACTGGATGGAGCACGGGCAGCCTGAGCTGGTGGGTGACAACCAGCTCACAGCTGGGAGATGGAGCTCGATGATCTTTAGAGTCCCTTCCAACCCATCCCATTCTATGCTTCAAATAAGCATTACTTTTAAAGCGGCTCTCATACCTTCTGAAAAGAAAGGGTTTTCTCCTCTAGCATCTGACTCAAATAACCAACACTTCTATACCTTATGTATAGCTAAGAACACCAAGCCAAAGAACCAAACGTAACCCCCAAACTTACTTCATAGTACCAACGAGACAGAGGCAAGTTGTGCGTGATGGCCAACCAGTTCCGGTGCACTTCAAAGTCTGTGGAATGACTACAGAAGGTTTGGATTAAGAGACACATTTACACTTAAAGGAGAAACACTTCAGAATACAGCAGTAAAACCAAGCCTGAACAGTCACACAGAACCAATACCAAAGACACATGCATGTAACTGCAGGGCAGGATGACTCGTAGCTCAGGCTTTTCTTTCAATTAATATTAACGTCCTGGGGTTTCAGTGGCTTCTTTTAAAGCAAATGTAATATTTTTGAAGGAAAAATCGTTTGTTTTTTTTTAAACTGAAAAGCGTAACAGCTTCAGCATACTTCAAGACCCTGAAAAGCAGCCAGAAGCTGTAAGCACCTTCAGACCCAAAAGCAAAGCCCTTTTATACGTGCAAGAGGACGACGAGACGGCAGCACAACAGCTCAGCAACCAAAGCCCTGAGAGAAGCGAGGACCGCCCCTCCCACACACACCGCCCCATCCCCACCCATGGGAAAAGCTGAGGCCGTGCCGCTGCTCCCCAGCCCCGAGCAGATCCTTACTACGTGGGGATGAGGAGGCACTTGAGGAAGGAGACGCCGAGCGCCAAGGCGCGGAACCAGCTCCAGCCACCCGCCGCCATTACGCGCCTCACAGACGCCCCGCGCACGCGCAGTACCAGCGACGCAGCCCGCCCGCACGGTTTGAAGCGCGCGGCCCCGCCTCGGCGCTGAGTGCGCATGCGCAGTAGCGACGTCACGCCGGCGCCTACCTCTGATGCGGCGTTGCGCTGGGGCTGTGTAAGGTGGGAGGAGGCGGCTGTGGGCTGTGAGAGCTCCGTGTTGTTTGCCGTGGTCACCACCAAGGAATGAGGCTAAGTTCTGGTTCTACGCAGTACCATCCGAACCCGATATGTGACAGCAGTGTCCAGACACTGCCCTGAGGGTGCAATGCCCTGGGCAGGCTGTTCCATGGCCACCGTTCTCTGAATCACAGAATGGCCAGGGTTGGAAGGGACCTCAAGCATCATCAAGCTACAACCCCTGCCACATGCAGGGCCACCAACCTCCACATTTAATACCAGACCAGGCTGCCCAGGGCCCCATCCAACCTGGCCTTGAACACTTCTATGGATGGGGCATCCACAGCCTCTCTGGGCAGCTGTCCCAGCACCTCACCACTCATAGTAAAGAACTTTGGGGCACAGCCTTTTCCTCACAGTGACAGGACAGGGGGGAACGGCTTTAAACTAAAGGAGAGAAAAGATAGGAAAATCTGTACTCAGAGATTGTTGAGGCCCTGGCACTGCTGACCAGAGAACTGTGGGTGCCCCATTCCTGGAGGTGCTCAAGGCCAGGCTGGATGGCATGAGCTGGTGTGTGGCAGCCAGCACATGGCATGTTGGAACTGGATAATCTTTAAGGTCCCTTCCAACCTAAGCCATTTGGTTATTCTATGATTCCCTGGGCTGAAAAAACCAAGGGAACTCAGCAGCTCCTCATGCATCCTGCTCCATTGAATTTGAGAGGGACATTGAATGTTGTGTCAGATTTGTGCTGGGTGTTATGAGGTCAGGTATGGCATTGGATGGTGTGGAGCTTGGCACGGGGTTACTCTTGTGGCTTTCCTCTTGCAGCCTTTCAGTATCTAAAGGGAGCCTACAAACAGGAGGGAAATCAACTCTTTGAAAGGGTAGATAGCAGCAGGACAAAGGGAAATGGTTTGAAGTTGAGGGAGGGAAGATTTAGGTTGGATGTCAGGGGGAAATTCTTTACCGAGAGAGTGGTGAGGTGCTGGAACAGCTGCCCAGAGAGGTTGTGGTGCCCCGTCCCTGGAGGTGTTCAAGGCCAGGTTGGATGGGGCCCTGGGCAGCCTGGGCTGGTATGAAATGTGGAGGTTGGTGGCCCTGCATGTGGCAGGGGGGTTGGAGATTCATGATCCTTGAGGTCCCTCCCAACTCTGGGCATTCTGTGATTCTGTGGCTCCAGCAGTGATGTTGGGTGGTGGTAGACCTGACTGATGTGAGGTTGGGTGGTGTGAGACCAGCAGTGATTTGGGTGGCGTTGGGCCTGGGGGATGTAATGTTGGGTGATGAGGCCACAGTGGGGCTATGCGAATGTATGAGGATTTGTTCAAAAATGCATTTTTTGAATCTGTGCATTGTAGACATTTGAAGACGAGTGGCATTAAGAATGGCTTGGATTATTGAAGAAGTACGTTGATCTGGTCTATTCTACATCAGCTCTCATATTTTTTGTGAGCTTCCTGTGATTCTTAGTCATAGAGGCTTCTTGGTAAGCATTGCATTGACAAACTGTTAAAAGTCTTAAGAGTAAAAAATGCAGATTCAGCAGATGTTGCTGCATGAAAATGTATGTCAGGCAGACCATCTACTGCTTCATTCACATTTTATTTATTGTCTTCTAAAACATATATTATTAACAGTTCCCAGAAGAGCTACAGGCAGAGAAATGCAAAGAGATATTAAAATGTGATATCCCATGGGTTGTCTGTGAAAATGGTAAGAAACAAAACCCATCTTCTGACGCCTTTCTAAAACCATTCATTCAAAAGTTTGGCTTTTTAGTGATTCAAGAACCAAGTTCTGTTCAACAGAGAAATCCAACAGCTAGGAGTGGGAATAATAAGAACATAACAGGAGGGAGAATGGCAAGAGGAGGAAAAGAAAAGAATTTATTCATTCATATAGCTCCTTTTTTTTTTTTTTTTCCATTTTTTTCTGAATCCATAGGAAAACCATCCCTCTTATTATCCTGAGTGAATCTGAGAGCATGATCTGCACATTTATGCTGGATCCAGCTCTTATCACATGGAATACCTACATCACCTCAGATACTAATTCACACATAAGACTTCTAATGGGAGGGTCTCATTACTAGTGCTTGTTTCCTGTTTCTTGCCAGCATGTGGTTTCTATCCAGTGTGTGGATAAGGGAACTGTTACAGAATGGCTACCAACCAGGACAGTTAAATATTTCCAAAAACACTGCAATTCTGAGATACCAAGTTCAAGTTCAGTGGTATGGGATGAAAATGAAATTCTCACAAAAAGTACTCTTCATAACTCCTCCATTTATCTGTGAAGTGTCAGAAGGTCATAGATTTATTTTACACTGTTCCTGGCAAGGGCTGAAGGCAGTATTTATTACTCCATTGAACATTACATATAGTCTCTTCCAGCCTTTTCTTTTCTAGAATGGGAATCTGTCTGATTGACTGCAGAGATTTACTAAGTGAGCTCAAGCATAAATTTATATTCAGCAACCAAGTTGAAATATAGGCAACGCATCTAGAGTTTCTATGCTCTCCTTCTAAATCTTGAATTTCTTGTTAACTTAGGAATTCTTCCAAATCTAACTTTCTGCACCTATTTCTTTTATTCCCATCACCCGTAGGAACAAACATTCATCTCACAGTCTTCTAATGATTCTTAACAACAGCAGCATTCATCAGCCATTTCAGCCTTTAGGCGTGGTTTCAGTCCCTTCATTATTATTATATATTAGTAGACAGGTTAGAGATATCAAGCCAAAAAACCCTGAGTGATTCTGTCTGGATTCCACTAAGATATTTTAGAATATTCTTTCTGTCATCTAAGAAATCCCACTGTGCCATGTACATGCCCATGTCTGTAACTGCCATTACATTCCAGCCAGTAACTTATTTATCGTCTGCCCTAAGTCTGGTGTTTTTCTGCTCTGAAAACAATTGATCTCTCTATCCAGTGGTTCTGCCAGCATTTAGGCCATTAAAATAAAATAATAAAGTGCAGGTCAGCCTCATTTTGTAGATGGAGGTGCTGAGAGACACAGGCTGATAGCAGAATCAGAACAGGAGATAGGATCTGAGATGTGGAAAAAAACTCACTTCAATCTAGACGGGAAAAAAAGCTTGCTAGATTCTTTCCTTGTTTTAAGGCGCTTACTGGAAAAAATGAGAAGTCTGTTCCAAGAGAAAGTATTCCACTCCAACAGTGAAATGATTTGTGGTTGTTACTGCTAATACGTTTCGAGTGCTTTTCATGACTAAGGATGGGGTTGTGATGTACCCTAAGCACACAGTATGGCTTTGTGCATGTTCACTTTTCTTTAAGCCAGGACAGCTTGAGAGCAAGAATCATCAGTGCTGCTGACTGGTGACAGAAAAGCAAGTTACCTCCAGGGCTTTGAAACAGAAGGTAAACAGAAGCTTGCTATCTAGATAACAGGCAAAGAAATGCTTTAGAGAGAGAGCATTCCTATAAACAGTCATTACAGCATAACTCACAGAGTGCAGAATTAGGGTACAGCTATAAATTTAGCATAGCATGTTGTCTGAAGTAGCAGCTGTATTTATATAACATATGTTTGATTGCTATCCCAGCTGATCCACTTACCACTTATTTCACTCGGTAGCACGCAGAACTGCTGTGGTACTATACATAGTATCTCATTCTCAAAGACATTTATCCTCCTCAACAAAAAGAAGTATTTGAAGCTCTTCTATTCCTCCCAAGGCCTGTTTTCATTGGTGTCTTTACACTGGCTGGAAATTCTGCATCTCTCTGCATATTAATAAATGACAGAGATTTGTAGTCGGTAATACCTTTGCCTATTTTAGTGACCTGAGCACAGACAAACGTGGATTCAAGTGGTCCATTGTTTGTGTAATAAGCTGATGGGTTCAAGAATTCTGGAACAGACTTCCTCCCCTTTTAAGCCCACTGCTCTTGCCCCTGGATAAACTCAAGCTAAGAGCAAACTAGTTATTACAGATAATTATTCATTTAGTCCTGACATTCAAAAGCTGCTGTTACAAATCATTTAAAAAATACTCTCAAAGGCTTGTGTTAAAAAAAAATATTACCATTGACATCCCCCCAAAGCTTTTATCATAAGTTCAGCAGAGGCATATCTGTTTGAAGGCATAGATTTGATAAAAGAGAGTTCACGAATGGTATTTTACAGATCATAATAATGGCATCTGCATAGATGATAACTATGAATGTCCAACTGACTGGCAATCTCTCAGCAGAAACAGGATTCACATCTGTGTTGCTCTGCTTTGTCAATGGCACGCCGCATCTTCTGGAGTATGTTACTCCTGCTTCATAATTCAGGACAGGAACAGGAAAAAGAGAGTTCTTCCTAATGCAACTGAAGGCAGAAAAGTTGAAATTTGGCCACAGCATTCTGCTTCTAATCCTCAAAATTCACAAGAAGTGGCTTAATGGTTCTTTGGACTTCAGTCCCAGTCAGTACGGCCTAACAACATGGTCTCATTTCCACCATCCTGCTGGTGAGTCTTGCACCGAGGCAGACAGGGAAGGAGATTTATAACAGGCTGCCAATAGCTACAGAGTGAACACTTTTACCATCAGCATGCTGATTTGTGTTATTCATGCAATACAGCTTGGGACAGTGGGAATACATTTATCTCACAGTTTTTTTAGAACAATATTAATGAGGTTTTTTTTTTGCTCCTCATGGATCAGCTTAACGTAACAACAGCCTACCTGCTCCGGGAAAAGAAAGAACAAGAGCAATATTGAGCTTTGTACCTCTGTGCTAAGAAGCAATAAAATTATAAACACTAAAGTTGGTTATTGCAGTTTCCCTTCTATCTCACGTGAGGGAATGGGAAAAGTTCTGGAGGGTCTCTCATGCATGCGTAGAGATCTGACTAGGGAAAGACAGCTAAGATACTCTTAAAAATAGTTAGCTGAAGAATGAACCACCTTGAATGTGGCAAAAGTGGCATCTAGAGCTAACACGCAGCTAGGGGACTATGATCTTCACCATAGCAAGGATCAGGCTTTTAGGAAAGGGCTTGACCATTGTCATCACCCTTTGTTTCCCACTGCCTTATCTCTCTGACGACTGGACACTAAAGCCAAGCGAGAAGGTAAAATGGTGCCTTTAGCAGTCTGACATTTCACAGTGGTATAAAAAAATGGCTCAGTGTATAGAGGTAGAAAAACTGAGCCTCTAGTTTTGTAATTAAAAGTAGTAGAGACGATGATGGAAAAGTAGTCCTTTCAGATGGAATCCATCCTACCCAAAAGCCATCCCATAAGCCCCAGACACTGCTGAAGGGAGACTTCCCAAGGGAAGGTCATGTCCAGTCAGAAGAAACCCAACCCTTCAGACGATATTTGGGGACGTCTTCCCTCTAAAGCTGTCATCACCTCAGAGAGTGTTTCTGGGAGCATCTTCGAGATAAATACAGCATTGTAAGAGAAAGAAAAGGAATAGTTGTCTTGGATGCCTTTGGAATGAAAATGTCAAGGTGTAAGAGCATCCAAAGCAAGGTTCTCCAACAGACACAATCTTGTCAGTTTGTAAAGACATCTTTCTCTCTGTTACGGCTTTCTTGGTTGTTCCCAGAGTCAGTCACATCATTCAACCATGGCTTCCCTGAAAGCAGAACACAGCAGTGGTTTCCTCACACGGTTCAGGAGAAAAAACTAAGTCATCTTCAGATGGCGACAGAACAGACAGGATCCTCTACTCGCTGGCAATGTGCACCTTCTTTTACATCTAGATTCAACGTGTCCATGTGGAGAGGCGGCTTCTCCACGAATCAAAAGAAGCTTCTTGGGTCCTCTGCCCGGGTTACATGGCAAAGACAAGGAAAATGTGCCTTTCTGAACTGTTTTCTGCTGCACTGTGACTCCGTGGCTTCCTTCTGTACAGCTGATCTCACTATGTCTCCGGGCTTCCTTTGCCACATCTGATCTCCAGACACTTTCCAAACCCTGATAACTGAGCATTCCCTACATTACAGGTTAAGGATCATTCCCATTTTTCATCTGGAAAATGTAGTAAGAAGATAAGTGGTTTTCCCCACAGTTGTATGGCAGGTTAGAGGTGGAGGCTGAGACAGAACCAATCCTTAATTCAGGTGCTAGACAATATTCCTTCTATTTAGAATATAGACATATTCTGAAAGACTGTATCGGTAAATACATTAAAGGAAAATCATCTCCCTGTTAGTGACTCTTAATCCAGGTAAGCATGATTCTGAATTAGGCTGTAAGTGTGTGTTTTAAAGGGAAACACTTAACCTGTGTTATCTCCATGATGGCATCGTAAGAAAAAAACATTCCTACTTGTATCGAATTAGGCGAATAATCTTATTATTCATGAAATCTGAAGTATGTGGATGAGAAGAATCTATGCAGAAACCATCACTGACAGCTATTTTTAGCATTTCTTCCACAAATACCTGGAAACTATTGATTTGCTTATTATCTGGCACCACCCAGAGTCTCTTTAAGTTCTGCTTCGTGTACTCCTCTTCGGGAAGACCTTCCACACTTGCAACCCAATCTAAGGTCAAATGGTTGGGGTCCTGCAGGTAGCTGGATATTGAAGAGAGGTTTCCGTTGAAGCAATAATAAAGTTTGGAACCAAGAAGCTTCAGGAACAAACACGAAGTGGAGAAGATATGAGCACTGAACACTTCCATGTTGGAGGAAGACAGGCTGTAAATCTGGGGTGCTTCTCGAACGGTGAAGTGAACAGTCTGGGTCTTCTGATCGAGGCTGATGTTGAGCATGGCATTCTTCTCTGCTTTAGAAAGCTCCACCTCTTTCTCCTGCAAGGCTTCAATCAGAGGCTGAATTTGATAGAAATCTGCCTCCCGTCGAAGTAAGCCCATTTCCTGAAAGTCTTCAGGGAGATCCAAGTGAGAAGTTCTCAAGAAGTTCAGGATATAGCGGAAGATTTTTCCATCTCTGTCAATAAAGCAGTTGCCTTGGCTGTCCTTCTTGGTTGGCATCTTCCCACTAAACATGGCCCCCAGCATGGAGTCTGGAAAGCTAGTCAAGGTGGACAGAGAGGTGGTATAAAGCTTTCCTCCAACATTGAGCGTGATGGGTTCTGACATGATGGAAAAGTCACGATGCTGCGACTAAGGCTAAAAAAAAATAATAAAAAAATAAAAAACATCCAACATGGTTGAAAAGATTAAACTACAGGGAAAAAAGGTTTCGGTATATATATGGGTAACTACATGGCAATAATTTATCTTTGAAAATAGAAGTGGGGAAATATTTTTGGAGGCTGTGTCGTGAGAATAAGCATCTCTACAGCAGAAAACGACTGATCTCCAGAGTTGTATCCTGGACTCAACCATTCCCATCTCCCTCGTGACAATGGAGAAAATAAGGGCAGGATAAGAACCAGACACATCCCAACATCTTCCATGACATCTCAAGATTTAATTAAAGCAACAGATTGTTGCAGCAGAATCCCCAAACACACATTGGTGTGCAATCATCTTACCAAGGAGCCAGCGAGCTCCCTTGTTCTTTGCAGTTCTATTCAGTAAAAAATAAACACACCAAGCTTTCTCCTTCCAATGTGCTTTACCTTAGAAAACACCTCTTAATTAATTTGGACTGTATCCTTAGTTGACGTAGCTTCTATTCAGCTCCTCTGCAGTCAGCTGAGACAAACTGAGGATGTGTTTTTATGCTGCAGTTAAGCATCACTGCTTCTGGAAACAACACACCTCCCTTTGCCCTCCACCATACTTCCCTTATCTCTTAAATCATCTCTGGCACTTATCTGACCCAACACTGAACCCGTTTAGAGAGCAATCTCACTCATTTTCTATTCAGAATACACTTCTGTTACATCTTGGAACCAGATGAATACCAGGGCTGGTGCAAAGGAAGAGGAGGGAGGCACTTTTCTACTGCAAACCAGCTTAGCTGTACTGAGAAGCTGTGCTCTCATTCCTGTTAGCTGAAGACCTGCAAATGCGGCTGCTCCATTTCACATGTTTCTCCTTGCTCACTGAATCCAAACCCATCGACAGTTCCTTCCCAGTTTTACTGTTGACAATTGACTAAAAACAACAGGAAGCCCATCAGTGCTTGCTTGCAGAGATATGAGTTAGCTCTTGCCTTATTAGCTATGGTCATTTCACAGAAAGCAGCCCAACAGCTCTCTTAAAATGAAATTTACATGCAGGCATTTTCCTAACTGGTTATAGATTAATCATAGACAGGATAAGACTATTATCAGTTCAGTAGTCACAGCAGAATACAGACTGGAAGAACATCATCTTATGCTGTGATATCGATTCCTTTACGGCTGCTAATACCTGAGTAATGGTGGTAATGGCCAGAACAACTGCACCTGCAGACAGCAAGCCCATTTTGCTATGAAAAACTCATCCACACTAAATCAGCTAATGAACAAGTCAAAGGAGAATCTTTATTTCACTTCTAATTTAACATTCCCCTCTCTTCTTTAGCCTGTGTTAGCCCTTAGCACACTGTGTGTATGTCAGTGCATAGTGATTAAGGGAAATAATCAACTCCCTAAATCCTCTGTGTGCTTTGCCTGTGTGAGTCTTAACCCCTTGTAACCAGTACAATTGACAAAGGTGCACACGTAGACCAACACAGCACCCCCTCCACCCCAGACCAAAGACCATCCTTGTTACTTAGCTGAGCCAAAAACACTCTGGAAAAAACCTTGTTGCAGTGTTGAACTCCCTATGGCACTCTGTTCTCAGCACACTTCCCATTCTTGAAGGCTTCTACCCAATGTAGAGTGAAGAGCTGTTTAAACGGGTCATATATAGGCTTCAGTTGATCTTATTCTGTGGTACAAGTGGCAAGTGTTTCCCCTAAGAACTTGCAATGTACCTGTGAAAGTGTTTCTGCAAACACAGTATGACACAAGGAACAGCCCCACGTGGATTTCTTTGCAAGTTTCATACGAGAACAGAAGCGTCGCCCTGCAGATAATGCAAGCTGTAGAAGCAGTACTGACAGTGACCCCAAAGGCCACGCTCATTTCTTCCTTCCTCTGCTGTTTCAGACTCAGTGACCCATTTTTTTTCTTTCCACTCTTTCTTCACAGATCATATTTTCAGATTACTGAGCCTAAGCCTGCTTAGCTGCGCCACAGGAGTTTTCTCAGGCTCTCTGCCGCCTGCAGGCAGATGTTCCCCTCCTTTGGATGCCACCTGAAGGCCACTGGATGGCCCAGAAGTTCAGTGGTCAGATGCAGACTTTCATTTCAAACTCAATACGCTCTAAAGTTTATTCTGATTCAAAAACATGGACGTAGGTGGCCACAACCTGCAGTCACTGGTGGAAGTACAAAATGGGTTATGGTTCTTGGAAACTGAGAGTTACAGTAAAGACCTCTGTGTAGCTGCTCCCAAAGCAGAACTTGAAGTCCGTTTCAGATTAGATCACTTTGAGATTTAATCTGAGATTTAAAGATGTGAATTTGGCCAATAGCACTGGTATTATGTGCTGTTAGAGTGATTTGTGTTCCAGTACACCTGAACACCAACTTACATCTGTATTCAAGTGTATTTGGATACAAATCACTCTGAAAGCACATAATCATAACACCAGATTGCAGCTGTGAAACAGTGTGGGAAATGACAAAATCCATTCATTTTCACTCACTGACATATGCTGATATATATAAAGTCGTGTCATTATTTAACGTGAACCTTTCTGTTGCTTATCCAGATCAAAATTGTTAATTTTGGTCATTCCCATTAAAAACAATCTACCCCAAAACAACAATTTGATGGAACATGGAAGAGATTGCATGTCCAATTCTGTTTAAGAGCCTCACTGAAGATTTGAAGAAAGCTGTCTCTGCATTAACAAAATGAAGATAACACTCATTTAGCCAAAACTGTAATTACTGGAAGGGCAGAGAAAAGATACAAAAGATACTAAATAGAAAACAAAATGAACTTTTTATTTGGGAGAACGTGCAGCAAAGCCTTGATTTCCTTGAGAAGTAAACCTAAGCACAAGTATTTATTGGGAGCGAGGAAGGAAAAGCAGCAGCAATTGGTCACGGGTACAGTGTCCCCTTCAATACCCAACATCTAAAACATCCTTTCATATCAAAACTTTGGAAACTCATCTTTAAGACAGTGAAACATGCAGCTTAGTTAAGAAAGAGCTGCGGAGTAACAGCAAGCGGCAAAGCACACACACAGCAAAACCAGGAGATGAATTATTCAGGTGGGCACAAGGAAGAGAGCCTAAATGGCAATAACATTCAAGCATGACAGGGACTATTTCTGCTAAGCATCAGGAGAAGGAGCCAGACTAAAAACCTCCCTGTTTCTGAGCATTGCCCAGGAGAGCTGCTGAGAGCCGTGGTGTCTGGATAAATGTCGAGCGGATCTGGTGGAAGCGATTTTGCATTGTGAGCAGCTCGATTGATTTCAGCTAAAAAACGAGGGATGGGGAAAAAAGTATCCAAGCACCTGTGTGGTTGTGAGAGACGGTAGGTAGAGTCTGATCAGAGAAGATGGTTGTTCCCAGCACTGGGCCCCAGCCTGCTTTGTTAGAGTGCATTAATGTCACATAGATAATCAGCCACAGGCAGTGCTCCGTCGGTGCTGGGCTCTGTTCCCAGCTCCCTACAACTGCTTTGCTCCAGCACATCTGACTACAGCAGAGCATTTTGGTTTGAGGTAAAAAAAAATCTCAATTTCCACAAAACACCCTGGTAAAAATTATCATTAAGCTGCAAAATCTGGGTCTGGGCACAGATGGAGGCAGCAGAGTCATAGCACTCGCTATGGCCGTATCTGGAGAGCCATTTTCTTCCCAGCCCCTTCTCAAAGGGATGGTTTTGCAGAGAAAAAAGACCACCAGCTGGAAATTTGTGTTATGGGCACTACAGCAAAGGTAGCTTGATGTCTAGAAGTCATGATAGGAGAAAAAAAACAACATAAGAACAGCATACGGAGGGTGGAAATAAAATAGAAAGTATTTAGAAAAGAAAAATTAAATTAAGAACCTCAGTTCAGTGCTTCCATAGTGAGAGTCAGTGGGCAGGCATCACGTGAGAGCTGGGTTTAAAGAAGGATGTGGGGCAAACCATGTTGTGACAAGATGCTTAACCCTCCCTTAGTGTACCACTGATGCACTCTCACCAATCCCAGCTGATCCTCAGCTCTCTGCAGTGTGGACTCTACACACTTTGTGCTTCTTTATAGCAATCCTATAGAGGAAAACCCCATGTTTTCCCACGGCTCCAAGATGGAAGTCTATCCCACCTCGTTGTGGACACTTGGCTGAGGCATCACAGTGCTCTGTCAGCGAGCTGCAGGAGAGGACTCCAACTCCCAGCAGGCACAGGGCAGGAAATGCCAGCTCACCCCTCCTTACAGGAAGCATCCCTATCGATCTGCTGCCTGTGGCAGTGCCAGGCAACAGTGACTTGGATTTTATTGTCTAACCGTGCTGTATTAGCATTGAAATACTCTGCCAACGAGATGAAAAGGGAAGCATGAATGTGAGCTTTCTAACATCCCTGGCTTGCTCTGAGTGATGCGTGGGGACCTCCCTGATGCTCTGAGCATCTCCTGGCAGATGCTCCAGGCTGGTACTGCTGGCAAAGAGCTGCAGGTGAATGCAAACAGATGTGGCCCTCTAGGTTTAAGCAGTGAACAGTCTGGGACAAAGAGAAGGAGGTAGGGAGATGGAAATATGGCTGATGGGCAAACAGTGCGGGGAAGAAAATATAAAATAAAGGTCAGGCTCATACTGAGATATGAGGAATGACAGTATTCACAGGTGTTGGGGAGAAAGAAGAAATGAAGGTAACAGCTGCTGAAGGAGGACCTAGAGGACAAGACAGAGGGGAACACAGAGTGAAGAGCCAGTGGATAAAAGCTGAAATGAGGCACTCATGATTCCAAAACCCACAAGCTGTGCTGACAAGCAGATAGCCAGCAGGGAGGGAGCCTGTTCCCAGCCAGGAACATGCCAGGAACAGGTCATGCCAGCCCTGTAAAGCTTTGCACTGATTTCTAATATCCCATTTAAATGTCCACATCACTTGCCAAACCTGCACTGCTGCCCAAAGAGCCGTGGGTGCCCCATCCCTGGAGGTGCCCAAGGCCAGGCTGCATGAGGCCCTGGGCAGCCTGAACTGGTGACAGAACCAGAGAAATACCCCAAATCATCGGCAGGCAGCACGACATACTAAAATAATAATATATAATCCTAACAGTACCAGTAACGATGTCATTGTTAATAACTAGGTTAGTCCGATTGACACAAAACCTGAACATCCCAAAGCCTTTCTCCCGCTACCCCGTGCCTCACTTTCCCCTCTCTGGGCGGGGACGGGCTGACCCCAGCCCTTCCCCGCCGCTCCCCCCGCCCCGCAGCCCCGCAGCCCCGCACCCACCTGCGGTCCCGGAGCCCCGAGCCCCGTCCCCGCCCGGACCCGCAGGAGGCGGAGGAGGAAGCGGGGGCGCGGCGAACGCAGGATCCCGGTGCGGCCAGCGCTGGGAGTTGTAGTTCCTTTCTCTTCGCCCTGCCCCCGGAGCTGCCCGCGGGGCTGCGGCTTTCTGCCCGCCCGGAGCGATAGGGGAAGGACCGGGCACGGCTCCGGAGTGAGGTAAAGAAGGATAGGAGGGGATGGAGGGGTTGGGGTGTGCGGGATGATGAGAGGGAAGGGATGCGCGGGGTGCTCCGGGGAAGGGATGCAGGAAGAGTGCTCGGTGATTGGGATGTTGGATGGTGTTTGGGGTCGGGATGCTCATAGGGAAGGATGCTTCAGGGGTCAGGATGCGGGAGGGGGGTTCGGGGTTCAGGCTTCTCAGAGAGAAGGATGCTTGGGGGTTGGGATGCTCAGAGCTTCAAGGCACAAGATGCTCGAATGGGATTGGAATGCTTGGGGAGTGGGATGCTCAGAAAGCGTTGCTGTGGGAAGGGATGCAGGAGGGATGTTCAGAGGGAAGGAATACAGGAGGAGAGTTTTGGGGGATCGGGATGCAGTATTGGAGTATGGGGGTCGGGGTGCTCAGAGAGGGATGCTCCAGGGAAGGGATGCAGGAGGGATCCTCAAGAGTCTGGATACAGGAATGATGTTCAGGGCTTGAGCTGCTCAAAGGTAAGGATGCTTGAAGGAGGGATGGTCAGGGGCTGAAATGCTGGGGAACTGGGTTGCTCAAGAGTTGCCTGGGAGAAGGGATACTTAGAGAGGGATGCAGGAGGGATGCTTGGGATGTGAGACAGTTGTCTGGTGGTCGGGCTGCTCAGAGAGAGGGATGTTTGAAAGTTGGCATGCTTGGGGCTTCAGGATACAGGAAGGATACTTGAAAGAGGGATGCTCAGGGGCTGGGAAGCTAAGAGGGAGGGATATTTTAGGATGTTTCAAAGAAAGGGATGCAAGAGGGAGGGATGCTGTAGGGGTGTTCAGGAGTCAAGATGCTCAGAAATAGGTATGCTCATGTGAGAGAATACTTGGGGGTCTAGCTGCAGAGGTGTTATTTGCAGGTTAGGCTACTCAGAGGGAAGGATGCTTGGGGGTCAGGATGCTCAGTGTATCAGGATATAGGGATGATACAGGATATAGGGATGAAGGAAGGATGTTCAGAGGTCAGCATGCTTAGAAAGAGGGATATTTGCAATCAGGATGCTGGAGGAGTGTTCAGGGCTTGGGATGCAGGAGGGATGCTCCAAAGAGGAATGCCCAGTAGGAAAGATGCTTGGAGTTCAGAATGCAGGAGTTTGTTCAGGAGTTGGTATGCCCAGGGCTTCAGATGCAGGAAGAGAGAGGGTTGTTTGGGGGTTGGGCTGCTCAGCAGGAGGATGTTCAAGGGAGCAGAACACAGGAGGAGTGCTCAGAGGAGGGATGCTCAGGGCTCAGGATGCAGGAGAAATTGATGTCTAAAATGAGGGACATATTCCTTATTTCCTGAAGGCAGTGCCAGAAAGACTGGAGGTCGGTGTATCTCCGAGTAGCCAGGCAGTGTTTGATGATTCTCAGCCAGTGCTGGTAGCTGTTGGTCTGGTATGCTTTAGTGAAGAGGACATGTCTTTTGTTTGGGCTACTTCCAGGGTATCTGTTTCCATACACAGAAATGCAGACAAAAATGTGATGAAAGAAGAGTGATGTTTATGCTATAAATACCTCAAAAAAAAAAAACCCAACAAGCCTCCGGAGTGAATGTGTTTACAGTCTCTGGGGATGATAATAGGAAGGACACCGGGCTGAAGGTCAGTGAGGGATCTGGGTGCTTCTGTATGCAGAGCTGTGTCCTGGCTGAGAGCTCTGGCTAGGGAGGAAAGCAGAAGTCTTTGGTGGCAAGAAAAAAGAGATATGTTCATCAGGGGAACATGAACAGGAGAGACAGAACAGGGGAAACTTTGCCTAATGCAGGCAGGACAAAGCTTTTCAGCATATGTTGTCCAATATATTCAGAAAATTGAAAAGCAGCTAGTGCAAGTTATTTTTTTGTCTGCAATTGGTGCTGGCTTAGCCATAAATCCAGTGACTCGTCAGTGGTGGTCCAAGTCCTGCTTTCTATGCCTTTGCTGCTGTTTTTTGATGCCATGGGATAGAGAAATGTAATTCCTTGTGCCTCGTTTCCTGCAGTCACCCCGGGGGATGAAGGCTGATGACATGCATTTTGAAATGCTTTATCGGAAAAGGATGCTGGCATCTATTAGAGATGTGTGTGTGTCTGTTGTCTTGAGGGGAGGAATGGAGCTGGGAGGAGTCTGGAGACAGAGAGGATAAAATGTCAGGGCCTTCGGCTTTATTTGGCATTACTGCACTGATCACTTTGACATTGAGCCAAAGCCTTTTTTTAATCTGACTACTGAGTGCCTCACAGCAGGAAACATAAAGCAAGAGGAGAGACCTGGGAGTCTGTATGCATCACAGGGACTGAAGGAGCAGCATGGGAGAAATAAGGGGTGGGGTGGCTGAGACAGCGGCTCCCAGGGAGGGCAGCCAGGCCAGCAGTGGTGTCCATCCATTAAGGCCAAGGTAAGTCAGCTACACAAGGCTGAGAGAATCATATAATGTGGTCATAAGTGTGTAAGAGTGTTTTAGAGAAAAAAAGAAGGATAAAGAACTGTATTGCAGCAGAAAGGAAAGTGGTCTGCAGATTTAGAATCACAGAATCACAGACTGGTTTGGGTTGGAAGGGATCTTAAAGCCCACCCAGTTCCAACCCCCTGCCAGATCAGGGACATCTCCCACCAGCACAGGCTGCCCAGGGCCCCATCCAGCCTGAGCACTGCAACAAATGGGGCACCCACAGCAATCTGGGAACCCACACAGTCTGTGCCTGTGCCTCACTGCCCTCTGAGCAAAGAATTTCCTCCTAACATCCAACGTAAATCTTTTTGTTTAAGATTCTTCCTTACTCTATCACTAAAATCTTTGATAAAGCACCTCACTATCTTTCATGAAGACCCTCTTTAGGTACTGCAAGGCCACTGCAAGTTCTTCCTGGAGCCTTCTCTTCCCTAGAGTAAAAGATTCCAGCTCTCCCAGCCTGTCACTGCAGGAGAAGCAGCAGATTTTGGTAAAGGTATGGGCAACTATTTGGTAATGCACACAGATGCACTTAGATAGAATCATAGAAAGTCCTGAGTTGGAATGGACCCACAAAGATCACAGAATCACAGAATGGCCAGGGTTGGAATTTCCAATCCCCCCACCACATGCAGGGTCACCAACCTCCACATTTAATACCAGACCAGGCTGCCCAGGGCCCCATCCAGTCTGGCCTTGAACACCACCAGGGATGGACGGGGCATCCACAACCTCTCTGGGCAGCTGTTCCAGCACCTCACCACTCTCATAGTAAAGAACTTCCCCCTGACATCCAACCTAAATCTTCCCTCCCTCAACTTCAAACCATTTCCCCTTGTCGAAGGTTCACTGAGTCCCCACACAGCACTGCCCAAACCCAATGTCTGAGGGAGGTGTCCCAGAGCTCCCTGAACTCCATCAGCTCAGGGCCATGCCCACTGCACTGGGCAGGCTATTCCATGCCCGCCACCCTCTGGAGCACAGCCTTTTCCTCACAGCCTGGCCCTCCCCTGACACAGCTCCATGTTGTTCCCTTGGGCCCTGTCCTGTCACTGTCACCAAAGAGCAGAGATCAGCGCTGCCCTTCCACTGCCCTGTAAGGAGCTGCAGCCACCATGGTGCCTCCCCTCAGCCTCCTCTGCTGTGGACCAAACAAACCAAGGGCCCTCAACTGGGATGAGACAGAATTAATTAGCTTTAGTGAGTTGGAGACATACAACACAAGTGCAAGCTGTCACTGAAAAGCACTTTGGGATGGGAAGTGATGAAAATGTGATCTTGAGAAGAGAAGGTGAATCTAGAGACACCGACTGCCATTACATGCAAAAAGTTGGCCAGGTTTCTGCACTGACAGCTTTCCTTGCTATAACCACAGGTGGGCAGAGTCTCACTTTGGTTCCTAAAGGGCTATTTAGCTGCATTTCTGGGAAGTTATTAGCTCTGAGTTTATGTTGTAGTCTTGCAATCGCATGAATGCTATCTGCTTTGAATGCAGCATAGGTTCCTCTCTATTCATTCCCATATATATACAATCTGTTGGCCGTTGGACACAGAATCATAGAATCATTAAGGTTGGAAAGACCAGTAAGATTCCCAAGCCCAGCCCAGCCCACCATGCCCCATGTCCCCAAATGCCATATCCCAACAGTTCTTGAACAGCTCCAGAGATGGTGACTCTTCCACTCCCCTGGGCAGCCTGTGCCGCTGCATTACCACTGTTTTGGAGGAGAAATTATTCCTAATATCCAACCTGAACCTCCCCTGGCACAACTTAAAGCCGTGAGCTCTTGTCCTATCAAAACAATTTCAGCTGAAGCCTCCAGAAGTTATTATAATGCAAATAAAGAAGGAAGGCTAAGGCTTCAGGTAATGAGTAGCAGGATGTAGAATAATTAAGAAAGCAGTAAAGAGGGAAGCAGCAATCATGTTATTGAGTGGACTGTAGAAAGCAACTGCAGCATTAAGTCATTGGGAGTGCTTCAGCTGTGCACAGACAGCTCTGGAGTCACGTCAATTCCTTCAACTCAGGTGATTTAGCAGAATAACTAGATCCTGACTAAATTAAGAGTATAAGTGGATGTGTAAGCCATAATCATGTTGACATTGGAGTTGGGGATATGGTAGCTGTGTTGGAGGCCTTTGTTTGCAGATTTCCAGCTCTGTAGGGAAATTGCAGTTTCTTTGCAGTTATTCACTGGACCACAGCTATTCACTGAGACAGGCTGCCCAGAGGGCTGTGGATGCCCCATCCTTGAAGTTGCTCAAGGCCAGGTTGGATGGGACCCTTGGCAGCCTGGGCTGGTCATCAGCAACCCTGTCCACAGCAGGGGATTGGAACTAGATCATCTTTAAAGTCTCCTCCAACCTAGGCCACTCTGATTCTATGATTTAGAGAGACGAGAGACTTAAAAATAAAAAAGTCATAGGGAAATGACAAGAGGGATTTTCTGTGGCTATTTAATACCTGCTGGTCAGGCTGCATCTGTTGGATATGGTGTTGATGAGTTGCAGCCTGTTCTTCCTCTTTGACAGGATGGATGGGCAGGTACTTCAGACCAAAAGTATCTCCATTACATCTCTGACTAAGGATACATGTGGTCCCTGCAGGGAAATAATTAAAAAAAAATTCATTAGAACTGAAAACTGCTTTGATGTCCTGAAGTACAGACTCAAGAAGGTGTGTGACAGCAGTTTCTTTGAAAAAGTATCCCAAATCATGGCAAATTTCATAGAAATTTCACAGAGTTCTGTTGAGCAGAGTGTTGTGCTCTAGGAAGCTACTGTGTGCAGTCACTTTCATCCTGCAGCAGCTCAGCATCCTGCAGGATTGAACTCTAATTGCCTGGCTGCCTGGAGGATGCAGCAAGAAGAATAGCAATGTCTTGGCTGACATAAAAGGAACTGTTTGAGCAGGAGTTAAGGTCAGTAAAAGGTGACTTTTGTTTCTGTACTTCCAGACCTCCAGAGAATTTAGAAAAGTAGATCATTATTTCTTTTTAATTAAGAAGAAATCACTTCATTAATCAGCCTTCCTTTGGATGGTGGGATTTTTTTCCTCCTCCAGTGGTATTTATCAAGCTATATAGCATGAAATAATCCAAAAGTCACCGCAGAGAACATGCTGAATTTATTACCAAGATTCCCTAGAGGTAAGGTGCATCTCAGATCTGTGTTTTCATGGCTTGGTATGATCTGGGATGTAGGGTCTGATACTGCAAAAATACCAAGGAGCCTTTACTGAAAATCTGCTGCTGGCAGGGATAGGGGAATGAATTGATTTAGAAGTAATTGGATAGAATTCAATTGAATTGAGTCCTAATTAAAGAAAAAAAAACCAAAAAACAGAAGAGAAATATGTTAGGACACCTCTGAGCAGTACAGATTATGAAGATTAGATTCAAGTAGAGCCCAAGGTGACTTTTCATCCTGAGCTCTGCTTTTTGTTACGTTTTTGGTTGCAGTTTGCTCAGTTCAGTGTGTGAAACTAAGATGGTGGATGCAGTTCTTTGCTTATATTCCATTTCACTATCTGCTTCCTAGGGCATGGTTGGGTATTTGTCCTTGCATGTCTTCAAAAAATCAAGAAGGATGATGCTGGGAAGCTGGTCTTGTCAGTCTCCCTTTGGGAAGATCATTGGGCACGCTCTTTAGGAAGCTGTGTCTGAATTCAGGAAGCCCCAAGGAACTTGGTTTAATTTCAGCTTTGTGCAGCCATTGGACCAGAGACCTTTCAAGGTCCTTTCTCGCCCAGCGCTTTGACTTTACCCATGTTTCTTCTGCCAGTTTCATGCTCTCATGGGATTTCTTTTTCAAGTGCAGATCTTGTGTTGTGTACTTTCTGTTTTATTTGAGCTACATAACAGATGGAACCTCAAAATGGCTCTTTAGATTAATAATTAACACTTTAACCTTCTACAGCAACTTCATGTGCTTCAGGAACTCAGTTCTCATTACAAGCAGGAGTGAGCCAATCCTCCCAGCTTTTCTGTGAGTTATTACTCCCTGTCAGGATGATAAAGTGCAGAAATGTTGAAGTTCTCCCACTTCAGGAATAGTTGCCTCATTTCCTGAGTATTTGTTCTCTTTGTTTTAGTATTTAACAGAAGAGGACCAGGAAGCAAATCTCCAGGTGGCATGCAGATGCCCAGCAATGAACCTATCCTTCCTCCTCCTGCAGTTCCTGGGGTTACTTGTGACACAGTTCCAATTCCTGCAACAAATGAGACAGTGCTCTTGCAGGCAGCAGTCCTTAACTGCAAACCCTGATTCATTCTCTGGGAAGGCCCTGGAAAAAATCAAGTCAGTACAAGATGGATGTTGTGCTGCTGGATGTTGTGTTGAGGGACATGGTTTAGTGGGAGCTTTGGGAATAGGTGAACGACTGGACTGGATGAGCTTTTAGGTCTTTTCCAACCTTGGTGATTCTATGATTCTATGATTCTAAGATCCTTTAATATTATGTCTGATAGCATCTGCAGAGGCCGTGGGTCTGAATTAGCCATCCTAATTCCCAACATTTGCCACTTGAATGCTCTCTTAATGTAGTTTGAAAACTGTAGTGTTTATTATTATATATCGCAAAGCATCCTGAGTGTTGTTTTAATACAGTTTTAAGATTGCAACATGCATTGTAAATGTCACCTTTTTAAGGGCTGCCTGGCTGGCATCTTCTGGCCTGGCATTATCTGGCCCATGTCTAGCTTGGTGCATCCTGATACACGATAGAAATGTGGGATTGTTCAACCACTTCTGGTTACTTCAGGGCAGTTCACAACCCTGTGTTGTGAAGTCTGTGTTGCTGCAGAGACCATGGACCACCGCAAGGTCAATTCAAATGGTCCTCTGTGTGTAAATACGAGCTCCTAAAGTCAGTATGAGCCACTACAATCTTTCTTAGTGAGAAAGATGGTCTTCCTTGACAACTGTTAGACACTCTCCACTTGTTCATGTGTTTTGACTGTGGGCAGAGCCCTACTTCAGTCTTATGTTCTCCACACTACGTCAGACCACAGCAGGCTGGGATGACCCATCCTCATACTTCCTCCAGGCACCAGCCCAGAGCTGCAGCTTCCTCTAAAAATGTAGTTGGAAGCAGACTCTACACATTAAAAAATTGGGTGAAGTTTGGTAATGTTACAGCTGGTGACCATTGTGGTGTTTGTTGATCAGTGAGCTACAGACAGGACAGCTGTGTCCCTCCATTTCTGGTTTGCATCTGGCCTAGTTTTTTCCCCACCAGCATGAAGGTGCCTACCAGAGAAGACAATCTGTGGTTCAGACACAGGCTTATTCCAGGAATCAGATGATCCTTGTATTGCATCCTCTGAGGTTCCTTCTGCTTTTGATCTGTGAAAATCAAAGTCGAGGTATAGAATCGTAGAATCGTGGAATGGCTTGGGATGAAAAGGACCTTAGAGATGATCAAGTTCCAACTCTGCTTTGGACAGAGTCCCCAGTCACTAGATTAGGCTGCAGGTATATACCATCTGCATGTCTACTTTTGATTAATATAATGCTACCCACTTGAGGAGCTTCAAATGCTTTGTAATGTCCATGAAATTTCAGTCAATCATTGAAAGGACTGCACTAGAAAAGCACTGGTATTGTCCTTGTTTTGTAGACTGGGAAGATGAGAAACAGAGAAGAGACTTTCCTTGCACTCAGACACAGATGAGTACGGATGGACTTTTGCTGCCTCGATCTCTTTTCATCTGAAGATGAAACATGCTTCCCTTTTTCCTCTCCTATGTATGGTTTCAGGCTGTATGCAGGAAGGGATGGTCTCACAGTGCATTTGGGCAGCATATAGCACCAGGGGTGACCTGCTGTTTTTTCCTGTAATATGATTTAGGAAATTCTGTCTATCTGATTTTATCATCTGTAACAGAGTTTCTTGTGCAGCAGTGCATCCAGTACCTTGGCTGTAAATGTTCCGAACTGTTCCAAGGAAAGCCTTGGGGATTTTTTCAGTACTCTCTAATACTTTATTGCTGTTGAATCCAGGCTGTGACGAATGGGAAGCTTTGCCTGACTCTGCAGTTTCTCTTCCTTGCTTTGGACCTGCATACAAATGTGGAAAGTCCCTGGAGGACAGCCAGGACTGCAGCTCTCCCTCTGCTCTGAGCTGGGGTGGATAACAGCCGGTGTAAATGTCAAATGTACATTCCTTCTACTGTGTGCCTCTCCTTCCCAGGGTTTTCCTCCCCCGACTGTGAAAGCAATCACTGGGAACGTCATTGCCTCTGGGAGGCACCTGGGCCAGCAGACATCAGTTGAAGTTTGACCCCACTGTTTGCTTCCTGATCCCAAATTCAGCCCCTCTTACAGGTCTGTGGCAGCCTGTTTCTTGGGGGAATTGGATTTTGTGAGCATTGGGACACATCTTCAGCTGCTGTACCCCTCAAAGAGAAGGGGTCAAGTGTAAGGTTGTAAGAGATTTACAAGACAACTGTGCTCAAGTATGTGACAAGTCTGAAGAAGTTCTGTTTTTATGCGTTTGTTCCAGTTTTGCAGCTTTGGTCTCAATCAAGCATCACCAAAAAAGGAAATTTTTTAGAAAACCACCACCAAAAAGTCACAAGAATTATCACCTTTCTAGTGTTCCAGACAACTCCCAAGCTCTATTCCTTTGGCTTTTCTTGCAAACTTGGTCTTGAATGCTCAATAGACCTTGCCTGAACTAACCTGCTGCTTGTTCTTTTCTTTCAGCTGGAAAACAAAGATGGATAAGATACTGGAAGCTGTGGTGATGTCCTCATACCCCAACAATGTGAAGCAAGGGCTTGTGAGGCGCGTCATTGAGGCATCAAAGCAGCCCATGGACAGCGAGCAATGCTGGTCCATGCTGGAGCTGTGCACCAAGCTGTATCTCGTGGGGGACACAAAATATAAAAGAGAGATCGGGAAAGAGGTTTTGGAGGTCTATGGCCACTACCACCCAGAGGAATTTGAGGAGTTCTTCAATGTCCGCTTCCTGCTGAGTCTCCTCCAGGAAGGCTATGGGCCTCTGGGGAAGAGAAGCCATTACGTACTTGATTATATCCAGTTAGGACTGCAGTTTGTCTTGGAAAGTCCATCAGCAAACAGCATTTTCAGCTTACTGAGGATCGAGGTGCTCCGCAAAGTCTGTGAGAGGCCCAGCCCCAAGCAGTGTGCAAAGATCAGCAAACTCCTAACGCAACATCCTCAGTGCATCCCCACAGGCAAACACCAGGTCCTGTTCTGTCAGCAGCTGATACGGTGCATTGGGCAGTTTCAGTGTGTCTCTGAGGGGGAAGATGACATCATGGAGTTTTTGGAGCAGGTGAACAAGGTGAGCGGTCTGCTGCAGAGGATCTGGAGGACTCAGACCTCGGCCATCCTGCCCTCGCTGAAGGAGCTGTTCACTATCATTTCTTCAACAGGTAAGAATAAGAAAAAAATGAGGGTGCAAATGTAGATATTGGCTTTGATGAGGAGCAAAATGCTTTAATTAGTCTTGCTTGATTATGATCTTATGATCCCCCCCCCCAGAAATGCAGTCACAGCTGAAATATTCCTGTGCATCTGTTACTCAAAGCTTTAGGATGAGAAATAAATATCTTGTGAAGCCACACTGGATCTCTACACAGGATTTTTTACCTGGTTTGAAATGCCATGTTGCAAAATTTGAGTGCTTGGCATTTTTCAGCATCAGCTGGGCTTAATAGAGAGAAACTTCTTTGCAGAAGGCTAGAGTGGGACCCAGAAGCTTTCAGAAATATCTCTCTCCAATGGCTGACTCAATGGGACCTCTCAGCCTGCTTGTTAGAAGAAAGTAAGAGTGAAGCTAAGGGCTTATTTCTCTGCAATCTAGAGGTGGGAGGCCCTGCCATCTTTCTGGAAGGTGGTTAGGTCTGAAGGTGGGAGATAAGATGTTAATCCGGCTTCTGACACCGTTAGATCATTGCAGAAGGGCTCAGAAGGTTTTTGGAGATACCAGTGCCTTGAAAGATCAGAGTCTCTGCATGTAAGTGAGCACCCAGACCCACTATTTCTAAGCCCTTGAGGAGATGGGCATTCCAGTGTTCCCTCCATGGAAACCTCATCTTTTGGAATGTGCTCCGGGCAGGCAAACCCGCAGTCACATCTCATTGCAGTAATTGCAGTAATTAGTGTAAAGAAAGCACCCAGAGGGAGTTCTGTGTTTTAGGAATAATGTTCTTGTGTCTATGGTTCCTGACTCCCTTTGGGCCGTGTATGACATCATGCAACAGTTCACTGGCTGCCACCCAACCTCATTCTGTGCTACATTGGGACTTGGGGAATTGTCCTAGTGCTGCTGAGCACGGACTCCTCATGGCTGGTTTATGTCAGTTCCATTTATGAAGGTGGGAACGATTTGGCTTTTACAGCTGAGAAATGACCTCATGTGCCTGGTTTCTCTGGTGACTAACATCTTAATTACTGGCACTCATCCGTGTCTTGCAGAGGAGCAGGAGGTGCCATCCAATGCCTTAGCCAGCGTGGTCCAATTTGTCCCTCTGGAGCTCATGGATGGTGTCATAAGAAACCTAACCAATGATGACAGCATCACCGATGTGCAAATGATGATGGCCATTGGCAGGTAGGCTAAGCTGCATAAATGAATGTCATTCTCAATCTGGAGAAAAAAAACTGTCCCAAAGCTGCATTGGGTTACTATGCATAGTTTTATCCCCAGATTGCAGCAAAAGCCATTTTGGCTGGTGTTGTCTTGCAAGGTGTAGAGAAAAGAGGAAGTCCAGGATCATTTCTTCCATCCCTGAGGGCTTGGAGAACTAGAATTAAGACTACTGATGATAATGATGATGATGATGACAATGACAATGAATTTGGTTTCTTTTTTTCTTAGAAATAAGTAGTGCTATGGGATACCGAGCATGAGATACTTTGAACACAACTGATTTTTTTCCTCCAGCGGATATTAAGAGATTTTTCTTCACAAAGTCTCCTTTCAATAATGTTTTTTTGGCCCCTGTATCCCTTCAGAGGGGTATTGCCCTAAATTGTTAGCCACAGCTAAAAGACCAGCAGAAATTTTTCAATGTTCAGCTGTCTGAATGAGCACATCTCGACCTCCACCAGATGGGTGCAGTGCTGCTGGTCTGCGTCTTGGTGCTGTGTGATTTTTATCCTCTGTGCAAAAAGAGTTGATGGTGACATCAAGGCATGATGAAGAGGCAGTGGGTGAAATATCACTTGCCATGCTGGACTTGGTCCTCACAGAGCCGGGGCCCTGATCTTCCTTGCACACCTTTGTCCAAATCCGACAGCTTCACTTCGCCCCAGCGTATTGATCCACATTTGGCATCTCCAAACCATGCTTTCCTCCACAAGAGGTCTCCACTTCAGTGGGTGATGTTGGCATGCACTTAGCCTGGGGGAGGTGGAAATATCTTTTTCTCACTGTTCCTACTAGGATTGTTCCCCCTCAAGTAGGTTTCATGACAGAAGCCCACATTATTCCCAATAGGAACTTGATGCACAAAGAAAAGGATCTCTGACTTGCATGGTTTTCATAGGATCCAGAGCAAGCCAGGACAGTTGTTAAAGTTACTGGTTCAGTTCTCAATCTTCTCCATCATTTTCTCCTTCTGGGATCTGGTTCCCAGCTCCAGGCAATAAATCCTCTAAGAGCACTAGTGTCTAAATATAGTGCTTGCAAAATCAATTGCATCATTCCTTAAAAAATTCTTTGTCATGCCGAGGGACGAGTAAACGATTACTCAGCCCAGATCTGTAAGCAGAGTATGCACAGTGTAATTAAGATCACTTAGGAGGAATGCAGAAGTTTTGGCGGCGTGTTTATAGCCAGCAGATGCCCCAGAAAACTGCACCACGGTTGGCCTTTGGAGGAGTGCGTGCTGCATCAATAGAAAAATAGAGAAAAATGTACAGCTTGAAAGGGTCTTTTTGGTCAGGGTCTCTAGAAGAGCAGACATACACAGAAGTTTCTTCTTCCAAATGTTGGATTTGGGAGTTCACATCAGGGGAATGGACTGGACATGGGGTGGAGCTTTTGACCAGGCATTTAGAGAGCAAATAGTGGTTAAAAAAAAAACAAAAACAAGCCTGGTATCTGCTGCTGTAGATGCACATCATACTCTCTTAGTATCCTTTGTTGTTGCTCAGGTAGAGCCTATTATATTATGTATCCATGACTTCAGAAGTACTCATTTGTATTTTTGCTTATATTTTTCTCTTTTTTTCCCCCTTATGGCACGTGTGTTTCAAAGGGCCAACTTCAGCTGCATAGAGCTTCTACCATCACAAAGAGATGCAAGCACTTGCTATCTCTAGAAATCAGAATTTGGATTTGAAAGCTGAGCATGCCACGCCAATGGCTCCTTTGGAAAACTAAGGCCCTGGTTCAAAAAATGTGAATCTTGCAATGTGGGAAGTGCAGTGTGAATTTAAAAAGCTTTTTGTTCCCACTGGCTGCTAATGGGGCAGGGTTATAATTTGGCCATTAATGTTGGTAAAAAATAGCTTATAGTGGACAAGGTTATTTTATGCCAGTGTGAAAAGAGAGAGATGAAGGAAGGCCTTTAGATCCCTGAATCCATCTTCCTGCTTTATAGGTATTGATATTACATTCCTTTTATGAGTGCTCAACCATAATCTTCAAAGCAAGAAGGGTTTTTGCTCCCACTGCTTTCTTTCATAGCTGTTCCACCATTTGATTGCTTTAGTGGTTTAGATTTCTCTTCTAATAGGCAGCTTATATTTATTTCTGGTATTCTTGTAGCTCTTTTGATTTTATGCCAGCATAAATAGCTGCAGTGTCTCTTTTCCTTCCCTGGTGTTTATTTGTTCAGTGTATGCTCAGAGAGCTGCCTCATCCCCTCTCTGCTTTCCAGTGGCTATGCTGGATGAGCCATATTATTTCAAGCTTTTCTCTCAGGAGAGAGTAAAGGAGAGGAACCTGTCAGGAGAGGTTCTTCGTTTTCTTGACCAGATCATCAGGCTTTTTCAACACCTGTTCCCACTTCAGTTCATTGGTCTTGGATATGGATGTTGAATTTGTGCACCATGTTCCCAGTGAGGTTCACCCTGGCTTTAGGTGGTGGCACAAGAGATCCTCAAATATCTGACTTCTCTTCTTCAAGCTGATGAATTTCCATTAGCAGCCATTTCTTGTTATTTCTTTCCCATGTGCCTTGCCTTTGTTTTGAATGAAAGCATTTCGTCCTTGTTCTGCATCTCTAATCCTTGGGGTCTTCCTCGTGATGCTTTGATCCTCCTGTGTTGATGATGCCTCCCAGCTTTGCATCATCACAAGTTTCACCACCACATTCAGGATGTTTGTGCCAACGCCATCAGGTCCTGAAGTACACTGCTTGTTCTGTATCCCCACAGATACAGTCAGATATGAGCTTATATCCTTTGACTAGAAAATTAGATATCCTGGCAAATCTTACTTTTGCCACCTCAGTAAACCCCTGTGGCCCTTCTTCCCACTCATTCCCTCATTGCTTGCTTAATTTCTGGAACTTTCTTCCTATTCTTCCCACACAAAGCACTACTCCAGTGTTAACAGTCATGAAAACCACCAGAGTTGAATTTTACTTGATAAACATTCAGCTCCTCTTGGTAGTGTATGAGCTCTTCATGTTTCTCTTTCACATCAGCCCTCATTGCTCCTGTTTCTATTACTCCTGTTTCTTTTCTCTGCCTCCTCCTTGTTGCTGACCAGTTCCTTCATCTTGTTGAAAACAAGAGGATGCATTTAGTTTGCAAGTTGCATCTAAAGGCCATGTGATATCTTCAGTTACCATCACACCCCCCATGCACAGTGTCATATCTATTCTTACTCTACTTTGATGCAACTCTCTCCAGAAGTTTTTCTGGTATTTGTTTTATGATCCGGCTTGGCTTCATTTTTGTTGTTTCTCAATATCCCAACATATTCTGCTCTTCAAGCTTTATTTATTGGCTAGCATTTCTTTTTTTCCCCAATTTTTTGTAGACTTGATTTATCCTTGCTGTTTGCCTTGGTTGGTTATTTGCCTTTATGCATTATTTCACAAGATGCAGGCTTGTAAACAAAAGGGGCTGATTGGGTAAGAAGGCTGGACTGGTATCTTCAAACAAAAGGTACTGGAATGAAAATGATTAGCAGAGTTTGACCTTTGAAGCTCCCAAGCCTTGATTACCTTGAGGTTCTGCTTAGCATTTAATTCAAACATGATTTTAAAAGATGTTTAAATGAATACTTAAACAACCTGTCATCGCTCAGTGATACCATTTTTTTACAAGTGGCTCTTCTATAAAGTATTGCAGAAACTTGACATCTCGTTGGCTCAGTGGCTGTAGTAGGAATTGATTAGCTATTCTATTCAGTAGTACCTGATTTCTATGAGGCTATTTTCTTGCTTTAATGTGATTTGGGGAATGAATGTTTCCTGTACAGGGAAGATAAAGATCCAGATCCCACTTGCTATCTAACAGCACCAACTCTTTAGATCTGCATTATGGTTCTTGAAAAAAGAAGACTGACCTTCTAGGGAACCCTGTGAAAGATGTATTAGAAAATCCTTCTCTGTATCCCTCACGACCAGTTTCCTTCCAGAGAGGGCCCACATCCTCCCTGACTTTCTTTTTATCACTGATATATCTATAGAATTTCTTCTTGTTCCCCTTTATGTCCCTGGCTAGATTTAATTCTGTCTCTTAGCTTTTCTAACCTGATCCCTGGATGCTTGGACTTGGTAGTCCTCCCAGGTCTGATAACCTGTCCGTGCTTCCACTCCCTATAGACTCCCTTTTTGTGCTTCACTAGTCCAGGAGCTCCTTGCTGATCCACGGAGATCTCCTGGCATTCTGTCTGCCTTCCTTTTTCTTGGGATGCACTGCCTTCTGGGCTTGGATGGGATGGTTTTTGAACATCAACCAGCTTTCTTGGGCCCCTCTTCCCTCCAGGGCTTTCTCACATGTCATCCTGCCAAGCAGTTCCCTGAAGAGTTCAAAGTCTGCTTTCTAAATGCCACATGTGCACCCTATCTTTGACTTGGCCATCCCATTGACTGGTAGGAACTTGGAGAAAGTTTAACCCAAAGTGGAGTTTAACTTTCACAATATGTGCATTACATTTGCTTCAAGAGTTTGATTTTCATTTCAGGATGATCGACTGGGTGTCATGGCCCCTGGGGAAGAACATAGACAAGTGGATCATTGCTCTGCTGAAGGGTTTGGCTGCAGTGAAAAAGTTCAGCATCTTGATTGAAGTTACTCTTTCAAAAATTGAAAAGGTCAGTGGGCATCTTAAATATGACCACAAAACACAAATTTCTTGTACCTGGGCTACCTTCCTGCCCTTCAATTGAATGAGGGTGAGATACAACTTCAGATGTGTAGGGAAGATTGTTCTATATCAAGGAGTTTTGCAGGAACCATAGTGCCCACTGCACACTGTGTATGCTGTGTTTCCGTGGATGGGGTAGTTTTGCATCTAGGAATGATGTTCTCCAGTAATGCCCATTTTAGCCATTTAGTGTAGCTCCTAATAAAAGGAGCTGGGTACTGGGAGTCAAGCTGGTTCTTGCTTGAGTATCTTGCATAAGGATTTTGGGTCCTGTAGCAACTGAAAGCCCAATCCAATGTCATTTAGAGCTTGGTTTGCAGAGGCACTGGTGTCTTAAAAGTTATGAAATATATCAAGCCAAAGAATTTAAAGCCAATCAAACATGGAGGTCTTGTACAACACATCGTTGGGACTGTAAAACACTCTCCATCGAACGTGCCTAGGTCCACGCTGGTTGACTTGGCCAAAGCACACACCACCTTGTAGGTTAACAATCCATTCAGTCACAGGGCAGTTTTAAAGCCAGTGCCTTGGCTTTATTTAATTTAGCAGCACAGACAAAGCCTCACTCCCATTGCCAATCCCTGCTTTGGCAATGAGTACTTGCTACTGTCCGAAAACCATGAGATCAAATTGGTGGCCACTTCAAAAATATTCTCCAATTTATGGTCCCACAGTTCCTTCCTTTGTAAGATGGTCATAAGGCCTGACTGAGCCTCTCCACCATGAAGTTATCAATACCATAACTGTCTATACCAGAACATTGTTAGTAACTGAATTTGCACCTGTGATCCCACTTGTGCATCAAGCAATGAGAGGGTCACTGAATTTCCTTAACTTCTCTTTATCTTTCCTTTCATTGTTAAAGCATAGGAAAAGGACAGCACTTAAAATGCTGCGTGATTGTTGGAAAATCTCAGAAGAAGGGTCTGAAAGCAGTAAAGGGCACTGTTATTTTCTGTAGATTGGGTCAAATGTCATTACTTAGCCTTTGAAAGCACTGAGAGACTCTGAAAGGACTTTGATTTCTATCCCTTTGCCTTGGAAGGCTGGTGGTAAGATTTCAAATGTAACAATAAACAGAAGAAGCTCATAATAGAAAATGTAGCTGCCCTCTGTTCTTGTGAGGCCTCTTCTATCAAGAAGAGTGGAGGTATGTTACAACATCCCAAAGCCCTGTGCCTCACTGTGCAGGTCTGAAAGAATGAGGACAACTCACGTGGTGTTTTTATGGTGCTTCAAGGCCATACATCACTGGACAGGAGATGTCTCTGGAGGCCTAGCTTCAGGCTGTGTGCTTTGACATCCAGATAAGTGTAGGAACACACAAGTAGATGTAGTAGATGCCCATGGCCCATGGGCCCATGTTTTGATGCCATCCTGCCTGCTCATTTGCTTTTCTCTCCCCACCAGGTCTTCTCCAAGCTGCTGTACCCCATCGTGAGGGAGGGGGCTTTGTCTGTCCTACAGTACATGCTCTTGAGCTTCCAGCACTCCCATGAAGCATTTCACTTGGTAAGGATGCATCCAACCCTTGGATGAACTCATTGCCCTAAGTTGTAGGACAACATGGCTGGGAGGGAGCCTAAGAGGCTGAATAATGCTGTTGAGTATTGAATATTTCCCACTCTTCTGCATACTGCATATTTCACCCTCTTCTGCAGCCCAACCAGCTTTTTGGTCCTATGGAGCTGGTATTGTAGAAGCAAATCCTACCAATATGTGCCACCCATCACCATTTATTGAAGTCCTGAGGCACCTTCCGAAGCACCACAGACCATCAATGTAGTAAGACTTGAAGGCAGGATCAGAACACTTCTAATCACAAATTCCCCACTGTTCAAAGGCACAAAAAACCCAAACAATCCCCAATTCCAGCAACAGTAATCCAACAAAAAAACCCCAAATCACACACTCAGTAGCCACTTCTAGCAGCATTTTATCTCCTCTTTTCATTTCCACAATGATAATTCATATATATGTATGTATATATTTACAGTTGAAACTGAGGCGCAGCTCTGATTCCCACCAATATTGCCCCTGGAATGCTATAATTGAAAAGCAGGGCTGAGGACAAAGGCATGCTTGCAGAGATTGAACTGCTGAAAGAAGTAATGGAAAATTACTGCTAATAATGCCTGATATTATACTTTTGCATTTAAGCCCTTATTTTTCACTTTTTACCTAAATTTCACAGGATAAACAGATAAAGTTGGAAAATGGTGGAGCTAAGCAACGTCGTCAGCAGGTGTTTTTTTGTTTTTGAGCAGGAGACACTTTAATTGAGCCCAATTTCTTGAGAAACCCCTCAGTTTCTAAAAACAGACGTTCCAATGAATGATCTTCAGCTGAGTGTCCAAAATTTGAAAGACTCCAAAAGCCATCAGTCACTCTTGGCCTGATGTTTCCATCTGTGGCCCAGTGAGCACGGATTTTCTTCCCTATTCAAAATGAAAGAGCCTTCAAGAAGACATAAGCTTGTCATGCTTCTTATTTCTGTGTTTGCTGGAGCACTTTGGAAGAGTTTTGAGAATTGTTCCAATCACAGCTTGGCAAAATGTTGGTGCATGCCATGGTACTGGGCTTCATTCATTGCCCTCTCCAAAACTTTCCCATTGGAAAGGAAATAGTTAAAATCTGCAACATTTCGAGGAGAAGAAAAGAAAGAGAGAAAGAAGAGCAGAAGAGAGAAAAGGGGAAGATCAGGAATCATAGAATCATGGAATCACAGAATGGCCTGGGTTGCAAAGGAGCACAGTGCTCATCCAGTTCCAACCCCCTGCTATGTGCAGGGTCACCAACCAGCAGCCCAGGCTGCCCAGAGCCACATCCAGCCTGGCCTTGAATGCCTCCAGGGATGGGGCATCCACAGCCTCCTTGGGCAATCAGTTCCAGTGCTTCACCACCCTCTGTGTGAAAAACTTCCTCCCAATATCCAACCTAAACCTTCCCGTCTCAGTTTAAAACCATTCCCCCTTGTCCTATCACTATCCACCCTCACAAACAGCCGTTCCCCCTTCCTTCAAGTACTGGAAGGCCACAATGAAATCTCCCTGAAGCCTTCTCTTTTCCAAGCTAAACAAGCCCAGCTAAACAAACCTTTCCTCACAGCAGAGCTGCTCCAGCCCTCTGCTCATCTCAGTGCCCTCCTCTGGACCCGCTCCAAGAGCTCCACGTCCTTCCTGTGCTGGGGCCCCACAGGAGCAGATGGGGCCTCACAAGAGAGCAATAGAGGGGGACGATCACCTCCCTCTCCTGCTGGCCGCCCCTTTTTATTGCAGCCCAGAACACGTTGGCTGCATTCTGGGCTGCAGGCACACACTGCTGGCTCATGCCCAGCTTCTCATCCACCCGAACCCCCAAGTCCTTCTCTGCAGAGCTGCTCTCAAGATCTTCCCCCAGTCTGTATCAATACAGGGATTGCCCTGACCCGATGCAACACCCTGCACTTGGCCTTGTTGAACCTCATTAGGTTTTCATTTGCCTACTTCTCCAGGCTGTCCAGGTCCCTCTGGATGGCTTCCCTTCCTTCCAGTGTATCGACTGCACCACTCAGCTTGGTGTCATCCACAGCCTTGCTGAGGCTGCACTCGATGCCATCGTCTGTCAGTGATGAAGATGTTGAAGAGCACCGGTCCCAAGACCGACCCTGAGGGACACCGCTTGTGACTGGCCTCCACCCTGACACAGAACCATTCATCACAGCCCTTTGGCTGCGTCCAGCCAGCCAGTTCTTAATCCACTGAACAGTCCATCCTTCAAATCCACACCTCTCCAATGTAGAGAGAAGAACGTGGTGAGGGACCATGTCAAAGGCCTTGCAGAAGTCCAGGCAGATTACAACCATCACCCTTCCCCCATCCACTGAAGCCATCACTCCATCACAGAAGGCCACCAGATTGGTCAGGCACGATCTGACCTTGGTGAAGCCATGCTGGCTGTCGTGAATCACCTCTTTATCTCATATGTGCCTTAACACAGCTTCTAGGAGGATCTGCTCCACGATCTTCCTGGGCACAGAGGTGAGGCTCACTGGCTTTTGGTTCCCCAGCTCTTCCTTTCTCCCTTTCTTAAAAATGGGAGAATGTTTCTGCTTTTCCAGTCACTGGGGACTTCACCAGACAGCCATGATTTTTCAAATATGATGGAGAGTGGCTTGGCAACCACATCAGCCATCTCTTTCAGAACCCTAGGATGGATATCATTCAGCCCCATACACTTATACATGTTCAGTTTCATGAGGAGGATTCGGACTTGTTCCACTGTTACAGTGGGACAGAAATGGGTGGACTGAGGATTCTGAGCCTTCAGTCCAGAACTGTTCTGGAGTAAAATGAAGCACAGCAGAAACACGATAAATGCAGTGTGATTTCAGGGTTACTCCAGTGCATCTGCTACATCGGAATCCTGTTTTTAATTTTCTGTGTGGCTCTGGGGTCAGCAGAGGGTGCCCATGAGCAATTTATCATTCTCCTTTTGATCTGTTTGCTCGTGTTTAAGTCTTCCAGATGAATGCAAAATAACAAATGTGCTTTTTATGGGCCTTTCACTACCCATCCAACTCATACATAATGAGTACTACTGGTGATTGGTGGATGGTTGGACTGGATGATCTTGTAAGTCTTTTCCAACTTTGGTGATTCTGTGATTTTGTGATGCCAATTCCAGTTTATTTTATGCAGCATGGGATAAAATATAATGTACCACGTAGCACTTTTTGTACATTAGTTCACCTGTTCTGTTGGTCTGAATTCCTGAACTCAGTATTCAGCATATAACAATCCTTTCCAGTGTATGTTTTAGCAGATATCGATCTTCACAAAGAATTGAAATGACAGCACGAACTTGCAGGTGCTGTACAGTGAAAACCTTCAAGACTGGTAGCCCTGAATTTGAACTGCTAAATTTGATGGAGGATTTGCTGTTGAGTTCATAGGGTGAATGATGAAGTCTGGCACGGGATTGAAGTCAGCTTCTATTGACTGTCTTTTCTGCCCGGGTCTGAATGTCATTCTGTTAAAGCTTTGTGAATTACTTGGAACCATTTTTGACATAGTGAACTCTCCTTTTCCAGCTGCTCCCTCACATCCCCAAGCTGGTGGCCTCACTGAAGAAGGAGGATTCCAACTCTGCCACCAGCTCCCTGGAGCAGCTGGCTGAGCTCATCCACTGCATGTTCTTCCGCTTCTCAGGATATCCAGATCTCTATGAACCAGTGTTGGAAGCTATAAAAGTAAGCTATTTGCTTCTTGGCTGTTTTTCTGTACTTCATATGCAATCATAGAATCATTTGAGTTGAAAGGGACTTTTCAGATGCCATCTGGTCCAACTCCCTTGCAATGAACAGGGATGGCTGCACCTCGATCAGGTGCTCAGAGCCCATCCAGCCTGATCTTGAACGTCTCCAGGGATGGGGCACCTCCGCCTCTCTGACAACCTGCTCCAGTACTTCAGTACCCTTATATTAAAAACTTTTTTCCTTAAATCCAATCTAAATCTCCCTTCTTTTAGTTGAAACCATTTCTTCTTTTCCTGTCCTGGCTGAAGTGTCTGTCCCTTTCTTTCTTACATCTCCCCCTATATAAATGACATCTCAATTTGCAGCATTGTGCAGAGGGGCCGTTCTACTGGTAGAAATGTCCTAACCTCAACACTTCAAACTGTGGCAGAAGAAAGTGTTTACAGTTCTGAGGTTGAGCCCCACGTAGGCTAGTTGGCTGCATTTTGGGAATAGACTTCTCTTATGGCAGGCGTGCAGAAGTCCTTGTCATGACTGTGGGTTTTATCCATAGTTTTAGTCTTGGGTGCCTCTAAAATAGTAATACTAGTAGCTAAAAAACACATTCATGTGAAGAGCATGAGGATGAGCTGTGCCACGAACATGAGCACCTCCTGCAGAGGAGTTCTGCATTTGCCCATCAGAAAGATAACGGTTGGTGTCACTGATCTCTCTTTCCAAGGCTCTTCCAATTCCAAATGAAGACCGGATTAAACATCTCTTGGGACAAAATGCTTGGACCTCCCAGAAGAATGAGCTGGCCTGCTTCTACCCACGCCTGGCCTCCAAATCAGAGACAGGGAAGATCGGCTTAATTAACTTGGGAAACACTTGCTACATGAACAGCGTCATCCAGTCTCTTTTCATGGCTTCGGAGTGAGTTGTTGCTCCCTTGTTCCCACTTAGGACAGCTCCAGGGCTGCTTTGTGCACTGGCATTGTGCTTTCCACGCTGATTTTCCATCTTGGTTTGCATCTCTTGTTGTCTTTTGCAGCTTTCGGCATTCGGTGTTGAATTTAACTGAGGGCATCTCCCAGCCCCTGATGACAAAACTCCAGTGGCTCTTTGCATTTTTGGAGCACAGTCAGGTAATTATTCCATGTTCCAGTTATTTGTTTGGACTGTTGACTGTGGAACGGCTCGTCTTCAAGTTGCTTCCTGCATGAGTGACTCCAGATGGCACAGACCCGTCTGTCCCCCAAAGACACAGTTTTGAATTTTTACTTTCTGTGGACCCATTTACCTGTACCTCCCTGTTTCCCAAGACTTGACTGGCAGCTCTGGCTTGTTACATAGTGGTGCTGCAGCATTACAGATCCATTCCCGATCACTTTCAGGGGGTAATATAGAGAACATCTTAACTTAAACATTTGGTCATAAAAGAGCCTGTTTGTTCAAAGCAGGTTATGGTGTGTTTGATGTGCATTAGCATACTTGCTTGCTGTGTAGCTCATAGTTAATAATTTCCCAGTAATTTCCTGTAATCATTCTAGTTATTTTCTTTTGGGCCAGTACTTAAAGTTGTTTGTCCAGCCAATGATGGGTCTTTCAGCATATTAATTAGACAACAGTTGCCTAATGGCACTGATTACATTATCCAGTAATGCAGATTAGCTGCCTGCAGTGATCAGAAAGGATGGGTGGAAGTTTAATGGATTTTTTTTTCTTTCTTAAATGGACTTGGTATCAAATTAAGGATCAAATTAAGTTCAGGCTGAATTAAGTAGAAGTCTGTGGGTCAGGAACGCAAACCATTTTGAAACTGAATGAAGAAATGCATGGATATCTCGTATGAATACCTAAGTGATAGGTGCTGGTAAAAGTGAGCATGCAGAAGCTCTCATCCTCATGACAGTCCAGCAAAAGGACGTTCAGCAGGGCTGAAGTTCATCCCTCCACTGCTGGGTGCAGCAAACAAAGCAACTCTTCTCCTGTATGAAGTGAGATCCAGTTGCTTAAGATGCATTTTTCCCTCTTGGTTCCAGCGACCTGCCATCTCACCCGAGAGCTTCCTCTCTGCCTCCTGGCCACCCTGGTTCACCCCTGGTGCTCAGCAGGACTGCTCGGAGTATCTCAAGTACCTCCTGGATCGGTATGTGGCAAGCCCTCCAATTTTGGAGCCCAGACATGATGAGGCCCCAAGACTTGGTGTAATATGAAATGCTGACTCCCATGGGAGTGGTGCGAGTGGCTGAGATCTGAGAGATTTGGTGCATAAGATGGGAAAATGAGTCTGGGGCTTCTTATTAGAACTCTGTGCTGAGCTGGGGTAAGAAATGGATTCAGCTTGAAAATTTCTGAAATTGCACCAAGTTCAGAGGAGAAGTGTTTGCCTGACAAACCTCCTCTTTAAAATGCTGATTTTGCCTTTCTTCCACCTAAAAATTCCGAATCCCCAGAGTCCTCGTGATGCCCCTGGAAGTGGGCTCAATGCACACTGACCATCTCTGCTTTCTGCACCACCGCACTTGGCATCAGAGCCCTGTGCACAGACAGGTTATCACACGTTAGCTGTGAGGAGCAGAGAACAGACACCATACTGTAGAAACTCGTTCTTTAGGTTTTATTGCTCTGTGTTGCCATCTTTTTTCTTCTGCCAAAGATTGCATGAAGAAGAAAAAACTGGAAAGAGGATCTACCAGAAACTCAAGGAATCCGGCTTGACGTCTCAAGCCACGGAGCATCATTCCTTAAACAAGACGTTGATTGAGAAGATGTTTGGGGGGAAAATGACGACAAAGATTCGTTGCTTGAAGTGTTTGAACATCTCCTCTAGAGAAGAAGCCTTCACAGACCTGTCGTTGGCCTTTCCCCCTCCAGATAGGCCCATACATGGACCAGGAAGCACCTCTGTTTTGCCCGTGGCAGAAGTCAGCCCACAGTTTATTGAGCCTCACAAATACCCAAGCCAGCCAACAGGGTCTCCCTGGGTCCGGAGGAAGCCCCCTGTGCCTGGAGATCCCGCAGCCCAGCCGGTGCCGGTGGAATCACTGGGTTTTCAGGAGCCCAGAGAACCAGCACATCCCTTAAGCAACAGTGCTGCTGGCATGGATACAGCCAAAGATCCTCACTTGGCTTTTGCGGAGCAGACATGCGCTCCTAAGGACTCCCGATCCGTCCCAGATTTAATCAACTATTTTCTGTCCCCAGAGAGGCTGACAGCAGAGAATCAGTACCACTGCGAGCAGTGTGCTTCCTTGCAGGATGCTGAGAAGGTGGCAGAGCTGACAGAGGGCCCGCACTACCTCATCCTCACACTGCTGCGGTTCTCCTTCGACCCGCACACCATGAAGAGGAGGAAGATTCTGGACAACGTCTCCATCCCTGTGGTGCTTAAACTGCCCATCCTTGTCAGCTCAGAGGAAACTGAGGACGTTTGCCGGCATGGGGAGGTCAGGGCTGACCGGGGCAGCACCTTTGTGCCCGCCGTGTACGATCTGTGCAGCGTGGTGGTGCATTCGGGCATCTCCTCCGAGAGCGGCCACTACTACTGCTACTCCAGAGAGTGCACTGACACCGTGCCCCACGCACCGCCCCGCGACGGGACACCAAAACCGGCTTCTGGCAAGCAGTTGGACTTTGAAATCCCGTGGTACCTCTTCAATGACACCAGGGTTTCCTTCTCCTCCTTTGAATCAGTCAGCAATGTGACTTCTTTCTTCCCCAAGGACACTGCCTACGTGCTCTTCTACAGGCAGCGGGAGGGCAGGCCAAGCTCCCCACTGCATGAGGCTGTGGCAGAAGCCAGCCAGCTGCACAGCGAACTGTCCCTCAATAAGGACTTGATGGAAGCCATCTCCAAAGACAACATCCTCTACTTGCAGGTACATCCCAGCTGTACACAGACTGCACTTTCCCCCTGAGATGGGGTGTTGAGCTTGATGTATGGCATCAGTGAGGCAAGCAACACCAGGCACAAGAGACTGACTGAGTGACGTCTGTGCTGGGCAGCTCTGCATCACATTTTTCCTAGTGTCCAGGTGTGGTGAGTGGAGCACAGGTGCCAGTCAGGTGCCTACCCACCTGCTCTCTCACTCCCCCTCCTTAGCAGGAGAAGGAACATAAGATGACAAAGCTCACGTTGGTCAAGATAAGTACAGAGAGATAGCTCACTGCTTACCATCCTGGGCAAAACAAGCTCAGCTCAGGGAAGATAAATTGAATTTGATGCCAGTCAGTAAGAGTAGAATTATGAGAACTAAAAGCAAACAAGAAACACTTCCTCCCCATCCACCTTCTTCTACCTTCTCCCCTCCAAGCAGAGCAGGGGAACATGGAGTGGGGGCTGTGGTCAGTCGATAGCACTTTGTCTCTGATGCTCCTCCATGGTCATTCTCTGCCCTGCTGCACCATAAACACCTCCTGCCCTCCTCCTGCTGTGACCTGGGTGGCTGCAGGGCAGCTTCTTTCTCATTTCTCCTTCCCAGAAGTTTCACAGCATTTTTTACCCGGCTCCCTCTTCTCCCATGGTGGCTGTCAGAGGGCTGGTTTTGGATCACCCGTGTGGCTAGAGAGATGAGACACTTAGATGCATCTCTCCAACCAAGTTCTAGAGATGAGTACGTGCCATAGCAACCCCAGATTGGTTTTGGGAAAATTCCCAGGGTCAAACGGGACAGCACAGGGAAGAAGGGAGCAATTCCCAAGGCTATGCAAATGACAGCAATATTCTTGGTCATTTTCCCTACAGGAGCAGGAAAAAGAGGCGAGGAACAGAGCTGCCTACATTTCCACCTTGCCAAAATCCCCTCTGTGGTGGAGAGACTTTGAGAGGGACAAGGATGATGACAGCTCACCAGGAGGATGCAGTCCTGGAGGGGGTGGAGGTGGATCTGGCTCTTTTCATGGACTTGTCTTCTAGCAACCAGTGTCTATCAGACAGCCCTTGTCCATTGGGCGGACCCAAAGCTGAAGGCTTCTCTTTCTCACCTCGGTGTCAGTGAGCAACTCAGGAGAGAATTTGGGGAACAATGCAATGGAAAAAGACTCAGGGGCTGATTTGGAGACTATTATTGGCACCTGGAGGTTTCTACTGCTTTCTATGCACTTAACGCCTTAAATTAAGCCCTGCAGCTAAGCACCTGAGAGACAAGCGTCTGCCAACAGCTTGAAGAAGTGCCCTTCTGCTTCAGCATAGCACTGTCTTGGCTGCTGCCACCAGACTGGGTGGGGATGGGGATAGGGGTGAGGATGGACCCAGCAATGCCCAGGGGATGCAGACTGCTCCCGCGCATGCCATCTGCAGTCCTTTCTGCGGCACTGAGCTCCAGGGGACCTTTCCTGGGTTGTTTTATTGTAGTGCGCTTTTGCCAGCCCACCTTGCGGCACATCTAACGGTGGGAAAAGGCTGAATAAGGCCCAGCCGCCAACACTGCAATGCCAGTATTCCAAGGTGGTGGGTCTGCAAGCTTGCTTGGTGGCACTGAGCAGCAGCAGGTTGATCTGGACGATGCTGAGGGTCACAAACTGCCCCCAGCTACAAGAGACTGAGCAGCTCTGGTTGGTTCTTTGGGCTCCATTGGGTCCTTGTGTCACTCGTGACCTCTGGATGCTGAGAATGTACAAGGCAGACCCAGCTGTTTGTCCAGATGTGTCATTAGGACTTGGTTACTCTGGCGTTTCCTGGATTCTGGTCAGATCTGCCAGACCAGACAACTGGGCATTCTTTTAGGATGCCCTGAGCTAAGACCCCTAAACCCACCAGCTATTTCTTAAAATACTGATTTGCTAGGAAAGTAACCCAACCAGATGCACTGTATGCACCCCATATAAGTGCAGACCATGTAAAGCAGAGCTTTCTACATAATCAGTCACAGAACAGGGGCTGATTTTGGTGGCAGGAGCCAACGCAAGCCCTGGGCATTGTGTCTGTAGGATCGTAGCTCCAGCCCACAATGCCCCCCACCCATTGTCCCAACCTGCTTCTTACTTGTGTTTCTAGTAAAGGTTGCTTGAGCTCAAGTGGCAGAAGTGTGTGCCTTCAGTGCTGTGTGTGAGGCCTAATCTTGAATGTGGGGTGTCAGGGGGGGAACACTGTATTGCTGTGGAGGAGAAGACAAAGCACAGGCATTGCTACAGGGGATGCAAGCAAAGGATCGAATCTCTTGGTGTGTACTCTTATATATTGTTTTATTTTCATCCCCACATATAAATAAAGGAAATCAATTCAGTATAGAGGCTTAGTATCTTACAGCAGTACTCATTTGTGTTGGGCTGATGGGGACAAAAGGACAGGAGAAGCTGATGGGAGAGGAGAACCTGACCTTGTGTGTTCATGAAAATCACATGGAGTACGGATGGATTTACCCCAGGCAGCTCCTGCCTGACAAACGTGGTGGCCTTTCATGATGCAGCTATAGCATCAGTGGATAAAAGAAAAGCAGCTGATGTCACCTACCGGGACTTGCACAAAGCGTTTGACAGTGTCCCGCATGACATCGTGGTCACCAAGTTGGAGAAAAATGGATCTGATGGATGGACCGTTCGCTGGATAAGGAACTGGCTGGATGGTCCCACTCAGAGAGTTGCAGTCAGCTGCTCAATGTCCATGTGGAGACTGGAGATGAGTGGCATTCCTCAGGGATCGGTGCTGGGATCGTCGTTGTTTAACATCTTTGTAGACAACGTGGGCAGTGGGATGGAGTGCACCCTCAGCAAGTTTGCAGACAACACCAAGCCGAGTGGTGTAGCTGACATGCTAGAGGGAAGCGATGCTCTCCAGAGGGACCTGGACAGGCTTGAGAGGTGGGTCCATGCCAACCTCGTGGAGCTCAGCAAGGCCAAGTACAAGGTCCTGTACCTGGGTTGGGGCAATCCCAGGCAAAGATACAGGATGGGCAGTGCTTGAGAGCAGCCTTGAGGACAAGGATTTGGGAGTGTCAGTTGATGAAAGATTCAATAGGAGCCGTCAATGTGCGCATGCAGCCCAGAAGGCCAACTGTATCCTGGGTTGCATCAGGAGAAGTGTGACCAGCAGGGCCAGAGAGGTGATTCTGCCCCTGTGCTCTGCTGTCGTGAGCCCCCACGTGCCGTATTGCATCCACTTCTGAAGCCCCAACACAAAAAGGGCACGGAGCTGTTGGAGCGGGTCCAGGGAGTGCCATGAAGATGATCAGAGGGCTGGAGCACCTTCCCTACGAGGACAGGCTGATGGAGCTGGGGCTCTTTGGCCTGGAGAAGAGAAGGCTCTGAGGGGACCTTATAGCGACCTTCCAGTAACTGAAGGGGGCCTACAGGAAAGCTGGGGAGGGACTTTTTAAATAGGCAAGTAGAGACAGGATAAAGGGAAATGGTTTTAATCTGGAAGAGGGTAGTTTTAGACTAGATATTAAGAAGACATTCTTTACAGTGAGGGTGGTGAGACACTGGCATGGGTTACCCAGAGAGGCTGTGAATGTCCCAGCCTAGAGGCGTTCAAGGCCAGGATGGATGGGGCTGTGAGCAACGTGGTCTAGAGGGAGGTGTGCCTACCTATAGCAGGGGACTGGAACTAGATATCTTGAAGGTCCCTTCCAGCCCTAATCATTCTGTGTTTCTATGATTCTACGACTCTATGATACTTTTGGACTTGCTGTGTCCAAAAGATGCAGCATCTGATGCATGGAGCCAGATGTGAATGATCCAAATCATTGTTACAAGTTCTCACATCACTTACATACATTCACAAGTTTCCTTTTTTAGCTTTCCCATCCACCCTTACAACTTTCCCATCCACCTTTACTTGTCAACAGAGTATTCCGCAAACACTCCATAACTGTGCATGCAGGTGTTTATCCAATCAGGGCCATGGGCCTTTCCTTTTGTTTTTTCCTCTTCTTCTAGAGTTGTCCTTTGTTCTCAGCATTGCTTATCTTGCTTCACAGTTGATACTTTGAACAGTCTTTCTCATATTCCCACAATTCCCACTTTTTTATTAGCAAACTATTGGCATAACATAGTAACACTAATCGTATTAATAACATAATCATAACTCAAGCAAGGTCTTGATTGACAGAACTCTAAACGTAAGGAAAGAGACAAGAGAAATACAGCATAATGATAAGAAATACTGTTAAACCCATTAAAAAGGACAACACACGTTTGGCTTACGGCCTAAGTTTCTGCATCCTGGAAAAAAATCCCTGAGGGTCCCATTCTGTATTAATCTATAACTGGTTAGAAAAAATCTTCAACTTTCGTATTCTCTGCTATATTGATTTTGAATGATCACTGAAATTTGTACAGCACATACTTTCAGTGTGCTCACAACCATGCCTCTGGGCTAACAGGAAATTAATGGTGGCACAACTTGATGAAATGGCATGTCAGATAGCATCAATATTCGTGGGCAAGTGTGGTAGAGTATCACTAGGGACATTAGTTTCCTTAGCTGGCTAATATCCTAATTTGGTGAGTGTGCCTAAAGCTTGAGCAGTACTGTTTCAAGTTACATTTGGATCTGAGAGACAGGATGTCGCAGGAGCAGAGGCCAGCAAACAGTGCATTCAGAGCAGCACAGAGGGTTATGAGTTTTAGTCAACACATGCACATTCAGACACACACACAGGCATCCATTTTAGGCAGTCCCATAAGTGGGAAGCAGGAACTCCCTCAGCCAGTGCATTATTACCTATCGACCCTTGGGAGACTGCAAACTGCCAAAAGGAGAGAGGAGGAACATGCCCACGATGGGTGCAACAGGCAGTGCCAGCAGGGCATCCCCTGCTTCAAAGTGCTCTGTTCCTTTCTCACCCATCACAGACTGTCTCCTGCTTTTATTCTTCTCAGGATCTGCAGGCTTTTTCCATTTGTACACCGTACCCATGTGACCAGTGTGTGATACAGAGCCCACGTGGAACACCTGCTTGTAAAACAAAACGAACTCCCAAGGTTAGCTCTCTCTACAAAACAAAATGTTTGCATCTATAGGCACAAATATCAATTCACTAAGAACTGTCAGAATGCTTTGTTTCATCCCAAGACCATTCTTCAGTGAGGGGCCTTTAGGTCCCTGACATGCTGCTAAATGAAAGGATTGGTAAACTAAAACATCTGTATTCCAGAATCCTGTACCAGAATCATATGCTGAATCAAAGTAAGGTAGCGTGTGCCTTTGTCTCAAGTGATGCATGGTCATATTTTTAAAATCCTGATTAGTGGGATTCTTCATTCTTTAACATCCCTTTGCCTGAGATTCCTTTCCAGGTTTTGTCTTTGCAAATTAAAAAAAAAAGGCTAATTAGTAGGCTAATAACATCATAACCGAGCATTACTAATTCACTAAAAAAGCAGTTCCCACAGATTCCAGCGTTGGTAGCATCAAATCCTGCTCAATTCACATTCGATCTACTACTAAAGCAGAGGATGTGCACAACATCCCAGATAATGCCTACTAATTCTGATTCTTGAGACTGCATTGGGAACACAGGAAAATCACCCTCTTTGTCATACCATTGCTAAGGTTGTTTACAATACAACAAACTACAAAACACGGTAATGCAGAGAGGGCTGGCACTTTCCCAGAGAGAGGCAGGCAACATCTTGTCCCCCTACCCACCTCCCACAGGACAAATAGACAAGCAAACAAACAAAAATTGGCAGTGATGGGAGAACTGAGTTGCAACTTGTCTTCAGCTGTTTGTAAGCCGACAGGACTGCCTGCCAGATGAGCAGTAAGGTGCCTTTTAGACCCTCTTCCTGTTCTGCTGCTATTAATATATCATCCATGTAATGATAAATAAGGATGTGAGGTCTGAATTTTTGTACGGGTTGTAATGCTTTGGCTACCATTGGTTGGCATATTGTCGGACTGTTAGGCATTCCTTGTGGTAACACAGTCCAGTGATACCACTGAACAGGGCTTTGCTGGCTGATGGAGGGCACTGAGAAAGCAGATGGTGGTGCACCTTTTGGATGAAGTTGAATGGTAATAAAACAGCCTTTCAAATCAGTGACTGCTATAGGCCAGTTCAGAGGTAACAATGAAGGCAAAGGAAGATCAGGCTGCAATGTCCCCATGGGCTCAATTACAGTGTTGACAGCATGCAGGTCCTGTAAAAGCCTCCACTTTCCTCTCTTCTTGAGGATAACAAAGATTGGAGTATTCCAAGGGCTGGCAGTAGGCACTATGACCAGCAGCAAGCTGTTC